TAGACGCCTCCTGATTGCCGATGGGTCTCCTTGCTAGCTCTAAACTGGGCAGCTTTTCCATGGCCAGACACAAGAAGCCCCCCAGCATTTCGTTTATCCCCACAGACGTTGGTTTTGGAAACCAAGGACAAGAGCAGACTCCAGATTTCTTGCCCTGCTGCGTCCCTTACCCAGAGTGCTGGCTCCCTGTGCGTTGCAAACAGAATCCACACCTTAGCACCACACAGAGCTCCCCGGGGCAGCTGTAAGCCCCTGGATCACGCCAGGCTGTGGTGTTTCCAGGGAACAGCAGCTCTGCTTCGAGCACAGCAACCCTGAGGAAAATGCTGGTGCAAGACATTCCCACCGTTGCCAGGGAACCAAAGGCGAGAGGCTTGTGATTCGGCTCCTCCATGGGACTGAGCCTCGCCACATCTCGTGCCAATGTTCCTGAGCAACACGAAGTAACAAGACCCACCGTGGGTGCACCCCATCCCTTGAGTCCCGTAGCTCAGGAGCATGGCGCCGCCGAGGCTCATCCTGCACTGCAGGCTCTGTGCGACTTTGAGAGGGTTCTGGGTGGAGGAGGTGAAAGACCCAGCGGGCACGTCAGGAAACAAAGTGCTTAGCACCGGGAAGTGCGGGAGAAAGCGGCACGGCTGGGGATAGCAACGCCACCGGCATTGCCAGTACCGCTGACACTTCTTCTGCAGTTTTTATGATGTTCTTTATTTACTGAATAATAATAATAAGTAATTAAAAATAAGAAAAATAACGATGATAATGATAACGGGGCCGGATGCCGGATCTTTTGAAGATGGGCTCGAGCCCCTGCTGGCAGCCTGGCTGTGCGTTGCCCGGGCACTGAGGCAGCCTCCCAGCGTCACCGACGGTAGGATGGCTTCTTGGGGGGCTGGGAGGGGTGCTCGGGGCTGCCAGCCCTCCTCCTCAGGGCTCTCCGGGGCCTCCCAGGGCAGCTCTGGCTGCTGCGGCTGGGAGTGGAGGACCCGGCCACAGGCTCCTGCGGGTCCTCCTGGGGCTCTGCTTGCTCCCTGTGGGTGCCGACGGGGGCACTGGGGGAGCTGCCGGGACGCCCACGAAGTTCTGCTCTGCGGGCAGAACGCCCTCGGGAGGCAGAGGAGCGGGGAGGAGCCCCAGCAGCACGGGCGTTCCCAAGGCCCACGCGGTGTCGGGCCTCCTCGCCGCACCGGCGCACGACGGTGTCGATGAGCTGGTGGACGAAGCTCCTCGTGCGCCTGCCCAGCGAGGGCTGCAGCAGCTGGATCAGAGACTCCTCATCCAGCCCACAGAAGGCATCAGGAGAAAGGCCCACAAGCTTTCTCCAAACCCGTGGCTGTTGTGCTGTAGGGCCATGGATACATTTGACAGCAGTCCTCCAGCTCTGTTGCCATGCTCTCCTTTGGCTGCAGTAAGCTGGGGGGAGCAGGTGGTGTCGAGGCACTCCCTCTCCCTTGTGGTTTTGGTCATGAAGATGTCTGCCTAGCTCTGCCCCTCTGGTGGTGTTCATTAGGTCTGGCATGGGGCAGGCAGATGAACTTGCCTGTTCACCTATAGGCTACATAGTGCTCTCTCCCAGCACCACGAGGCCCAGCAACATGTGGTAGGAAGGGGCTGTGCCATCCTCCTGTACGCTGCTTTGCTGCTGTCTGGGAGAGTACTTCAGCCACTGTGGGGCCTTCGTGTCCCCACTGCCCAAGCCATGTGCTGCTGAGCCTCAGGAGCCCAGGGGCTGCACCCACTGGCGGCACTGGGCTCTTGTTCACTTCAGCTGTGGCCCTTTTTCTCTGTGCCCTTCCCAAAGCCAAACTGTGAAGAACACAGAACCCTGGCTTTCAAGCCAAGGCAGCACAGAATGCCCTGCAAGGGCTGATTAAAGGCAGTACTCCAATGCAGTTCTGCTACAAATCGTTAAGATGTCCCTGCACTGCTCTTTGTGTCGTGGTTTGTGTGGCACAGGTACTAAATATCCGGCAAAGATAATCAGTCATTAAACCAATGAGGGAGAGGAAGGAAAGGAAGGAAATGAAGGAAAAAAAAAAGGAAGGAAGGATTCACTGTATGGACACTGTATCTGACAGAGTGATTAGTAAGTCTTCTGTGTGAAACTCTTTACATTTTCTGCTGAAAACCTGAACAACAAAGTCACACATAAACTACACACATCGAAACAATTCCACATCTTATTGGGCTAAAATGGTATTTTGGTCTATTTCTGTTGCTCAGTAGGATCACTGAACTCTGGAGTAGGGAGCTCTTGATATGCAATCCTGGATGGAGATCTGCATCACTCTGCAGAGTGCATGCCATGCAAGTAAGGTCAGGCTGCATGGGGCTTTTAGCAACTAGATCTAGTTGAAGACGTTCCTCCTCATTGCAGGGGGTTTGGACCAGATAGCGTTTAAGTGTCTCTTCCAACCCAAACCACTGTATGGTTCTATTCAATGATCTGAAGAGTCTATGACCAAAAAAAAAGGGTGGCAAATGCAAAGCAGACTGTAAAACAAAATCAGGAGAAAGAATGTGAGTTGGTTAAAGAAGGAAATGGTATGCACCATCTTTCTCCTTTTGCAAAGTTTCAGCTTCTGTGGCTGCGTGGTTGCAGAGATTCTTGCCTTCGAGCACGAGCATTCAACTCTGCAAGACTTTGATTCTGAAATATTATGAAATAGAGCAACTAAAGTGTAAAACTTGCAGTTAGCAATTTTTTTCTTTTCTAAAAGAATGCAATGGTGTTAAGAGTTACTGGGTTTTGACTTGTTTGATCCTCATAACTTCTAAGATAGATGACATCTGGTGGTATTTCTTGTTGTGTATTTCAAAATTTCATTTAGAGACCGGCAGAGATAAAAGCCCTATCTGGTCCTCTGAGGAGACATATGAAAAAGTTTGATCTCTGGCACCAGAAAGGTGTCATAGCAAAGAAAGCCTGAGTCTGTGGAAGCAGCAGTGTTGACAGGTATCTCCTCATCATCCTACTTCCTTGTGTCTGAGTGCTTCTGTACACTGGCTGCAGTGCAGGTCTGCCTGGGCACCATCTTCAGTCACAGCTCAAGCAAAGTGTGAGTTTAGCGCTGACCCCGTGGTCTTCAAACTGCCTCTCTGCCCTTGTATAGTGACTCATGACAGTATGGATCATCAGGCACTTGAAGAAAGGATTCCTCAGCACTATTAAATGAACTGCTCATTTGCAGTTTTTTCTTCCTTCACACTTTTGACTTCCACAAAAAAGTCAAATTTATTTACTATGAAAAGATAAAAACTACTGTTGTTGGGAAAGTCACCGTGAATACATCTGTTTAGGCTACCACAACTAGTTGCTGGGCACTGAACATATGGGAAAATTTTCTACCAACATCTGGGGGATGCCAGAGGAGCTCTAATACAACAGCATTACAGCAACATTTTTCTTTACCTCAGTAAGTACTTGTCCTTAGTGTCTTATACCGGTGTCTGTTTCCCTAGCAGAAGTCTGTATCTCATTTACTGCTGCATGACTTCTTGTATGTCTACCAGTCATTCAAAATCTTGAGATTTTTCTGAAATATTGTACAAGTAAGCTGGGTTTAAAATACCAGGGTAATGCATGTGCACGTGTGCAATCATATGGGTACGCAATAATTGCACTTGGTTTGTAAATCAACAGGAATCAGCAGAAACTAATTTTTATTAAACCAGTTTATCACAAAACATTAAGTAACAAAAATAAGTTCATCTGTAATGATGTTAAATATTAAATACAAAGGTAAACCAGTTATATAGTGCTCTTAAAATAGAATAGAACTTTTTATGTGTAAGTAGCTGACACAGAAGTTTTTGTTTGAGACTGCTGGTCTGCATTTATCAATGATATTTAGTTCTTGCGAGTGGAAGACATACAGAAAGCAAACTACATGTTAAAGAACTGAATTTCACGTAGGCAAGACTGAAAGCAGTGAGAGTTTCTGTGCTGCTTAAGAACATCACTAATGCAAGCCTCAAATCCATTTTAAGTAGAACAATGAAACCAAACTCCAGCAACTGTTCAGAAACCAAACTCCAACAACTGCTGAGACATTTTTTTCACTTGTCTTCCACATCTGCTACCATAGCTTCAACCGCATCCCAGTCCAGTTTGCTGAGGATACTTCCTGTGCTTTCAGAAACATCATCGGTGTGAACAGTGCCAAGAGGAGAGAAACTCACAGGATGCAACGAAGAGGCCTATTGGAGGAAAAGAACATTAGCTGAATCACTGCATATCATTTATGGACAATGCCTCTGCATAGCCAGCAAAAACAATCTCATTCTTTTCAGAAACGTCCTAAACAAGTTATGTATCTGCATTTATGTGTAGGGCCTACAAGAAATCTGGAAAGGGACTTTGTACCAGGGCATACAGGCATAGGACAAGGGTTAATTCTTTGCTCTGATGGTGGCGAGGCACTGGCAGAAGTTGCCCAGAGAAGCTGTGGCTGCTACATCCCTGGCAGTGCTCAAGACCAGGCTGGACAGGGCTTTGAGCAACCTGGTCTAGTGGAGCATGTCACTGCCCATGACTGGGGATTGGAACTACATGATCTTTAAGGTCTCTTCCACCCCAAACCATTCTGTGATTATTCCGCAACAAATATATTTTCCTGTTTATGCACTCCCACTAGCCATCTGTTGCCTGGACAGACAACATGCCTCTACAGTTGTTACAAAGAACATTCATTTTCAAGGCTCAAAAGACCTGATTTTGCTTGTAAAGACAAAATGTAGTTCTGTTGAATCACCACCGTTTATATGCCCCTGTATCTACCCCATCCACAGGTTTTGAACAGAGATCCACGTTTTAAATAAAGCAGAAGTAAACAAAGTATTAAATGGCAAGTATCAGATCATTCCCAGAACAAGCAGACATTCTACCTGAAACAGGGAGTCATGAGTATCTCGAAGTATTCTTTGGATATCATCAGGCACAGTCCAAGGGCTTACTATGTCTCGATCAGTCTCTTGATCAAGATTTTCTGTCTGAACTGTGGCGGCAAGGTGTGGATGCCTTTGTTTTGATGTTCTGCTGACTCTGTATTCAGCAGCTGAGGAGAAAACAAGCCAACCATGGCACTGTAACATTTCTTGCTGTTTACTTCTGCATGTCTTGAAATTTCTTCAAGAACAGAAGCTCCGAGTTCTAAGAACTGAAGCGGTGTGAAAACATGTGAAGACCAGCATGATCTGTTGTCTTGAACTAATGCTTCATGCTCTGAACTGTCTTCCAGACAAGTGGACACATGGAATACAGAACATGAAGTGGAACAGGACTATCCACAGTGCCTACAGCATGCAGGCTCTGTAGTGCAGTCCTCAAAAAGGGATATTGATACATTATTTGACAGAGGAATAAAACTATGTAAATTCTGGATTAGTGCCTCTTAGAAGACATGGAACTTCAGTGATACCCTTAGCAGTGATGGTATATACCGGAGGATCTGATACAAGAAGGTGATGTTAAATCAGAAAAGGACACCCTGCATTTAGAGCTTAAAAACAGAATATATGGAAAGGAGAAGAATGACTTTTTCACACCTGTAGAGGTGTGAAAATCTCACATCTCTTCAAGAATATGATTAGGAATAAACATTTTATGCGAACAAATTTTTGTGGATCCAGACCTATGGAGATAGGCACAGGGAAAAAAAAGATTACTAAAATCACAAATTTTTTTTAAAAAGTTCAGTCATAGATTTTTCCACTCTGTGACAAAATTACGTCTTAAACAAATACTCTACAAAGTGAAACTCAGAAAGTAAGCACTGCTAGAAAGGTAACAGAGAGGCAGAATATTTGTGTACTGTACTGCTAATTAACTTTCTCTGTGTGTTTCAGCTGAACAAAGGAAAAGTCCTCTGTCCCTCATGACATCATAATGCCTGTTTCAGTATTCTAAGGTCTACATTGCATAAATTCTACCCAGGATGTTTTCTGAAATGTGTTCGCTGTCTTGTTTTCCCCCTGTCCTATGTAGCTGAACAGCAGTATGTCATTGCTCTATGTAACTTACAGTGTCTAGAATTAACAGGACAATTTGCAGCAGTTTTCATTCTTCCTCTGGAAGCACTTTTCTGAAGGAGAGTACAAGCTTTTCCTGGAAAGATAAAGAAAGCGTTTCCTCTATTAGGTACATCAGATTGAAACTACACAAAAGATGCTTCAGAATATTCATTTGTGAACTTGCTTCCTGGATTATACAGTACTCTTACTATGCAAATTAAGCTACTCTGGATTTAGAAAGAGATGATAAGGAAAGGTTAACTCATAACCTAGCAGACCGATGACAGCACTGTGACAAAAGTCTCAAAGACAGGAAGTCTCCAGGATTATTAATCTGACTTTCTACATAGGTATTAAAGCTCCTCCCTCCCAAAATCCTGCAGTAAATTAAAGATTATCTCCAGTTTGTGCTTTTTTAATGAAGTTCTGTACTTACCCCTGGAATGTGTTAAACCAAGAGATGGAGTGAAACAGCATACTTTTTGCCCAAAGCTGAGTTTGGCAGCAATTCTGTTCCTTTCTGACACAACAGAACTGTTTGGATGCCCTCTACAAGAAAAAAACAAAGCCCAAATACTTACTACTGTCTACCACAGAGCATTCTCCCACACAACTTAGATCTAACAGGTTTTATTCAGATGAGGCAAAAAGAACACAGAAACCTCCTTCAGCCCACTTAGCTGAGGATCAGCAAAACACGCTGCCTGTGGGGCCAGTAAGTCCCACCAGAATCAGAACTGCTCGCAATCACAGTGAAGACATACCAAATTGGCTTTACAAACAAGCAGCCCACAAAACTTAAAAGTTATTGCCATTCCTAAGGTAGCTTCCTGCAATGACATTCCCTAGTGCTTCTGATTCTGGCAGGGCTGATGTACTTAAACTGCCCTCACAAAGTTCTGCTCTGTAACTTCAATTATTAAACACAGATGAAGAAATACTTAAGTTTGGAAGTTACAGGATTATTTGTTTTCCTATTATTCTGGAAAACATAAAATAGTATGTAGAAGAGGAAACTGCAGTATACACCTGGCTTACATATACACACATGACATTAATGCCATCAAACAGAATACATCTACCAATTTATAATACTTGTAATATCATCTCCTCAAAAGGCAATAAGCACCAAAGTGCAAAAGAAAGAACAATTTCTAGGTAATGAAAAAAAAACTAAAAAGGAAGACAGTAAACCTAGCGTTTGCTGAACTCAAATTAGTCTGTATGCATGGACAACAGTATTCTTATTTGCTTCTTACTTGTTACTAGATGCTCTTCAGATCATTAACTATGTTCCTGGCTATAGCCCAGGGCAATTGCTTTTGAGTGGAATGGGTTAGGACACTGATTACAGCTCTGACCCAAGTTGGCTCTGAAAAGCATTTTTAAGGTTCCCTCCAAGACTATACCAGTGGATGGAAGAAGACTGGTACAGGAACTTAAGACACCTGTGATACAAAGTGTATCTTTGATTCTGCCAGAATATAAAGCCTCTCTCAAGCTAATCCTGTACCTATCAGCTTCAAATTGCAGACTGACTTGAAGTGTGGTAACGACAGCAATACATTAGAGCAGGTTTAACACTTAAAGTTGTTACCTTTTAGCAGGTGCCATACACCTTTTTTTGTACTCTTGAGGTGATCTTGTCTTTGACAGTGTTCTATGTTCATTTGCAGTTACCACCACTGTTTCAGATAACATTTCATTCATCAGTGAAAGTGCTTGTGATATTCTTACATTGTGATGTTCAGTTAACAGGGCTCTGTGGAGAAAAAAAGTATTACAGATTACCTTATGCCGTCAGTTAATTGCAGATGACTTGTGACTCTTGTAAGGTTATATGCTAATCAGAATAGAACACATTTTTGCACTTTCAGAGGAGATATCCTAATTCTTCTAAGCTCATCAGCAAAAAGCTAAAACATTTATTAACAATGGGTTTGTCAGTATGAGTAAGTCAATGTTGGGGGAATAAAAAAAATAAAGAAAAAAATCATATCCAGGAAGTGAAAAATAAAGTCAAAGGATGAAATCTGTTCCGAGTTTTCTTAAATCATAAAGCAAATATGGATTATTTATGCTTCTGATTGAAATGTCATTTATAGCTGAAGTATCATAGATAGCTAACCTGGAATATTAATAAAGAAACAAGAATACAACAAGTTACATTTATAGAAACTTACTTGTGTTTTTCTTCTTTCATCTTCTGGAAGCATTTAATATCCTTAGAAGTAAGACTACAATGCTGTGCAAGAAAGAATAATAATCATTAACTTATCAGGTATTTCATTGCAATCTCTCACTCCTAGAATGTACACCTATTCGACTTGACAATTACTGTTTAAGACACTCTCCTGAATGAGCAACAATATGAAAGCACATGGTCCTATCACGAAATTCAGGTAAGACTGTCTCTATAACTTTTCAGTCTCCAAAAATATACTGAAAGCTTGCAGCCACACCTTCCATAGCTCATTAACACTAACATTCCTAAGGAGATGTCAAGCTCAGTTTCCAATGGCCTCACCTTCAGTTTCCTAAAAATCAGTGACATTCCTAACAGTAACTAATTTAAAAAAAAGAGGGTAAGGTTACACTTTGACCTGTGTTTGATAGTGTACCATTTTTTTAATGCTTTCTTCTAAAAATGAAATAAATAAAAACTACCAAAAGCTGAGAATCCATCTAATGATTTCCAGAAGAAAAGCTTGTAACAAAAGCATCAAATATATATATGAGTTGGCAACAAAGGAGAGGGAGAGAAGCAGGACACATTTTTCCTGAATCACTTCTCTCTAAACATGTACAGAAGAGCAGCCAGGTTCAACTCTAAAAGACTGTTTAATGCCAGGAGAAAGGCTGTATTCCATAGATGAGATCTGTTACTCTTTCTAAAGTGAATACAATTATATTACTTAATAACAGAAAACTTTTGCATGTTACATGCTTGTTGCCTGGGAGTCAAAACCGGCATAGCTTCATCATGAAAGAATTTACAGCATACCCTGCATTCTGCTGATGATCAGAAAGTACAGGGACGTATTTGCTGTTGCTAGGTCTCACGTCCTGTACCCCTGAAGCTTTCCCTGACTCAGCAGCGTCTTTTCTGGTTCCGAAAGATATCCAGGTGACAAATGCATATTTTAAGACTTCACACTGATTGGGAAAATATTTCTGAACTACATTTGTACTTCCACTCCCCCCCACCTTGGGTTACTTCCAGCACAGTGTAGATCAGAAGAAATACATTAGGCCACAAACATATTTTTACTAATTATACTTAAAACTAAAATAATTCTTGGAGGGAAGGCATTGTTTGCTGAGCCTGTATTGAAACCAGCCTTCAATTCTAACATCTCTGCTGACACTCTGGTAAGTGCATACACTTACGTCTGTGTGAATGACAAGGATGGCTGCTCTCAGTATCCTGTTGCATTTGTAAAGGATGTTGGCATCTGAACTTCACCTTTTAAATTCATTGAGGGTTTTAGGGAGGTGCAAGGGCAGTTGAAACAAGATGTAAACACATCTTTATAACCCTTGTAGTTACCACTCCCTGACAAAATACAGCTTTTATCCATTATATGTTACAGCTTTATCCATTACAGTCAACGGACTGTACTTCCTGAATCTAGAGCTGGGGAACAGGTTGTATTTGCCACCTGCAGTGAATTGTCATTACCACAACCTCGTATATTTGCTTACTGATCACTTCTGAGACAACTAAAGATGGTTCCAATAAAACCAACATTAAAATAGGAAAAAAAAAAAATCACCAACAACTTTCGTATTTTCTAACCTGAACAATCAATACTTGTAAAATACAGAACGATTACTCTTCAAGATACCCATTATTCCTACCCCATTCTTTCTTGGACGGAATGGATTATGCTCTTTCTGTCTTTGTTCATCCAGTTTCTTCACATATTCTCTCATTCTTTCCTTTCGCTTTCTTTTCATCCATGCTTGTATCTCTTTCTTCTCCTTTTCTGTTTTTTGAGAATGTCCAGCAGCAGAATCATGAACCCTGAGAGCAAATGTAAATGGGAAATAATCTAGCTCATTCTCTAAACTGCAAGCAATTGCAGCTACACATAATAATAAGAATATTGCAATTCCTTTACAATTCTAATTCAGCTGAAAGCATAAGTAATGAAAAATGGAGAAATTTTCTTTTGCAAAACTTTACTTTACAAAATCCTGCCACACAAGTAATTTCCAAGATTTTTCCCGTTTTTTATTTGTCAACTACATTCAGATAACAGGACCAAAGCTTTAAAGTGCACCATCTGTTATTGCCTTTATAGGATTAATGGGACAAAACCCCTGCAAGTCACTGTGCTTTGATCTTTAGTTTTAAGCACATACAAGTATCTAAGAAGAAAAGACAACCAGTGAGATTGTCATCCTTTTTGCTCCCTCCTGTCAATCTATGAGCTCCTTCACATGTCTATCTGTTCAATGTAATTTTAAAAACACTAACTCAGAATATTAACAACAGAAAAGCACAGCCAGTAAGAAATGCTAACATAACTGTATTCTCAGAGTTCTTCAGAAATATTTACGAATTCATCTTGCAATTGTCTTTAAAATAAGCAGCTGGGAAATACATGTTTTCTTCACTGCAAAACTGGAAGTACTGCCCCCCAAATTTACAGATTTTTCAAGACAAGTGTTTCAATTATAAACGTCTCATTTTTAAACTTCTCTCACTTTCAAGGCTGGCAGGTACTAATAATTCCAGAAACAAAAGAAGATATAATTGTAGAAAAATAAGGTATCTTTAGTAGCTGTAAGTTCAACTGAAAGCTTATGGATTGAAGCATTAAAGTCCTCAGGGAATTACAACTTTTGACACATCTGAATGTGATTTACTTTATGGCAATGGGAAGTGTCATTATCAGAAGTGTTCACAGTCATGTATGAAAGTCAGTAGGTGAAACTGAGTTGCATTTAGGTCTTTGGTCAGGTTTGATTAAATACAACTTGAACACATTTCTGAAATATTTAGTGATTTTGAAAATATTCATATACTTGCACAAAACAGCTAGCAACATTTAAATGTTGATGTAGTCATTACTATCGTGTTTGTAATTCTCAAAGGATAGCAAGGATATATTGATCTGTGCAGAGATTAAAATGTGAAGCTCTTGAGCTCCTTCACCAATCTGAATAAATCTTAGAACATGTAAACCAGAGCACTACATTCTACTCAAATCAAGTCATTAGAACATCCTGAAATAGGTATCTTAAACTGGTGTGAACTGTTGCACTAATGCAACAGACTGTTTGGCATCCTAAACAGCTGTATTTTTGTCTTGTAAGCAACTGATACCACAAACAACAGTAGGAAACAGCTGTAATTTCAACCTATCTCAGGAAAGAACACAGCTGACTTTGTAACTGACAGTCAGGAAGGTGTAGAAACCTCCAGCAGGGAAGGGAGCGTGACAAGCTGGAGACTGGGGCTAGAAGGTTCTGAAGCTGCTTTGCCACTGACAGGGAATTTCTATTTTATCTTTTAGAAGTCTCCAGTCACCTTGGCTGAACTGAATTTCCTGTATATAGAGAGCTCTGCTCTAGCCTATACCTGGTAAAAGATGAACAAGCAAGTAGGAAGGAAAGAATTTCAAAACCAAAATAATAAAAATGTAACTAGTACATTTGACAATAATAGCTGTAAAATAGCTATTAAACAGTTTTAATACTACTCTAATTAACATCAAGTTAAATTACGTGCTTGTTTCCATTGTTTACAGGGTGTGAACTATGAGAAGAAGAAACAGGGTTAAAATTATTTAACTAACATATAACAAAAAGCAGCCATGGTTTACCTGGAGATTTTCTCAGCTTGTAGTTTCGTAAAGCCCAACTCCAAAGGAGGGACATCACCTTTTACTACAAGATCAGTAATGATATCAGTAACACCACTCAGACCAGTAATTTGTAGAGGATCTTCTAAAGGGCTTAAAGTCAGGAGAAAAAAATTGTTACAAATTTAAAGTAGAACATGGCTGTAAGAAGAACAAGCTAAAATCTTTCCTGATGCAGCAAACTCCTCGACTGTTAACAATGTGCAGTTTAACCTGTCTATTTCTGGATTAACCTGGAGGAGGGGGTATACTTGTGTCCTCCTGCCTACAGGTCCAGGGCGACTGCCTGCGAAGTTTGTCAAGCCTTGCCATGAGCTGGACAGAGGAAAGTTTTATGCTTAACAGGAGAATATTCATGTCATTTAAAGAGAAGCCTTTGGCCTGAATATTCTTTCCCCTACATCTCACTATGCTAATACACACAAGCAAAACCTGGGTATGTGTGTAGCTGTCTTAAAAAAGTTACCAGCCACCACCTTAGCTTTCCTGTCATCCTGTACACTTCAGCCAACAATTAGCCTCACAAGTGTGAATGGGACAGAACGAGTGAGCTCTAACTAACATCAGGGGTACTGCAACAAAATGGCTTTAAGTAAACCAGCCAGAAACATGGCCCCATCCAGAGCTGAAATGCCTGACCTCCACTGGGGTGCGTGAACATGGCTGGCCCAGAGGAGGGTGAGCCTGGCAGGCCAGAAGACCAGGAGCATCCACAGAATGCTTCAGTCTATTGTTCTACCCTGTTCATATGGTAACACCTCCAAAACTTTCTGGTGATAGCTGGCCACAGTAGATGACTATTAGCAGCCGTTACATATCCTTGCTCAAAAACTAGTGCTTTGCACGTACAAGAAATAACACATGCACACAGACAATAGCAGCATCTATATTAACAGCTCTGTTACTTGTAATTAGAAAGCAACTTTGAATGCTAACACAGCATTTGCATGAAGTAAATTTAACAGGCACTACAGAAGTCAGAGTAAATGCCTGAAATTAATTAATAAAAAGGCTTCCATTCAGTCTGAAAATGAATGCCTAGGTTTTTACGTAAGTGATGGTTCCACCTTGACGTCTGCTTTTTGGTAGGAGTTTAAAGTAAACAAAGTTTCAACAAAGCCAGTATCAAAATACATACCTATCACATAGATCTTTGCCTGAAACAGAAACAGCCTTTGTTATTAAAAGTTTTGCACTTACAAATTAGTAACACAAGTTAAGCAGCCTATAGGATAAAATACAGAAATATATCAATCTGAATATGCTAACATTAAAAATAAATTAATATTGAACATAAGTTTAATGACCCAAGAGAGCACGTCATCAAGTGCTAGGTTAATATGTAGTCTTCAGAGAACGTTAACAGCTCCCTGACTGACATGGATAGTTTTGTTAGGAAGATCACTCTTGTTAGTCTTCTGCCACAATCAAACTAAGGTTATCAGTTCCAACTGATTGGAAATTATAGGCTCCAATAAGCTATACCATGTTCTATGGCAAATTAACAATTGCCATTTACTTGAAGAAGCCAGACTGCAAACTCCTGGAATTCAGGAAGTGCAGCTGAAGAGCAGTATGGATGTCTTGGAAGGAAGAGCATTATTATCCTTCTTAACCCAAATTCCACTCTGAAAATATTATAGTTGCAAATCAGTATCACCTACAATTTTTTAGCTTGCAAGTAACAAGTTTATACTTCAAGAGAGAACTAAGTGTATTACTGTTTATAAAATTCATCTGTGCGCGCATGCCATTTGAGAGTCACTTCTGCTGTATGCAGATATAGGAGTTGTGTTTTAACACCTTTTAAGATAGATTGCTGCAAATGTGAGTGGAAAATGTATGTTCACCTGTACAAAGTACGCATCACTTAGAACTTAAATGTAAGCAATGCAGGCAACGTGCAGACAAAAGACAACACACTACATTTTTAAACACAGGCAACAGGTTGCTTGCATAGTGACGATTAATGCTACTGCAGTCTTCATAATTGCAAAAATCAATTTACTGTCAGTTTGCAAAATGAGATGAGACCACAAAAAATAATGCCTTAGGACACAACCAGCAGTTACTGTATAGTGATATAAAATAATTTATTTGCTGATGTGGGTTGAATTTAGTTGAGATTTCACCTCTCTAGACACAGGAGGAAGGCACAATGGTGACAAGAGATGACAAAAACAGCTTCGTGAAGAAGCTATGAGTGTTTTGTGGCACAGTGCCTGTTTATATTCAGGTAGACTTCAGAAATAATTACATATCAGCACCGTGATGGGTTTCAGAAATAGGCTCAAAGTTATTATTTTTTCCTCAATGATGGTTAATTTGAGTGCAAGTATAATTCATGGCTTAACTGTTTTAAAAGCTGAAGTGATACTGCTCTGCCATGGAACATATGAACACATTATCAATATACATCCATGAAGCCATTCTAAAAGACAACTGATTTTTATGAGCTCACTAGCATTGCGTATAACAGCAATGAGAAAGTATTACATTGGGAAGAAAAGCTTTACTTATTTTTAAAGGGAGAAAAAGGCAAAAATAAACACTGAAGATTATACCAGAAGATGACTTTGTACTACTGTGAAATCTAGAAGCAGAAGCTGCAGAGGCAGGGGAGTGTGCTTCCAATGCAGTATAACTGGGTCCAGGATATTGCAGGTTTAAGCCCTCCTTGTCATGACCTGTAACATCGGCAAAAATCATGCCCCTCAAATAATGCTCAGATTATGTCAAAAAATATAAAAATATAAAAATCAAAGAACCCAAACCAAACAGTAATTAATGTAAACCAATGGAAAAAAAAAAAAACACAAAAAAACAAACCAAACTCCCCCCTAAAAAAAAATAAATCAAAAAATCCAAGCAATAAAACCCTACTACAACACATAAACTATTCCTCACATTTGTTAGTGGCATAGTTAGTTTATCTTAACAACCTGAACCAAGGTGAGTTGTGCTTCACTATGACAGGGCACTACCAGAGCTGTGATGCATGCACCCGTCCCATATAAAGAAACAAAAAGACTAAAATCTTAAGTTGATCTGTGTGAGGCTAATGAGTATCTTAAACAGTCCTACATATAAATCACAGCCATGAGTTGGTTCTACCACTTGGCTTTGTATTAACTCTGTAAGTAGATTAGACTATGTTTTGGTACGAATGTAAAATGGACCTCACGTAGGTACCCCTTCTATGCTCCTCCTTGGCACAGTACAAAAGCTATAAGAAAATAGGTCCTATACAGTCAATTGTTACACAAACAATAAACTACTCAATACATCAGCTCTAGCAAACACTTCAGCTTCTGTAAGCTTTTATTAAAATCAGCAGATTTTACAACTAAATAGTCACTGAAGATTCATGAAGAAAGTTTCTTTATATACACAACGAAAACTGAAGATAACTTTCATGTCATTTAATATCAACAAGCAAAGCACTTATAAGCACCATGATTTGATTTTATGATACAATAGAAATAGGTACTTATGTTTAAAACCTGTTAACCAAGTGCCGAATTATGGTTTTGGAAAACATCAAAATACACAGATATTTCCAAATGCATTTTTGTTGAAGCAGTACCCATAATAATCATATTCTCTACCTTTGATTTTCTTTCTCAACTTTCTGATTTTTGGTGCATATTTCAATAATGCCTTTTGGGACTGCATTAAATTTAAGTGTAATTAAAAGTTAATCAACTTTAATATTCAATTGCAAGTTTACTATCCTTCTGTTAACTGAACACATACCATCTTTGTTGATTCTAGCATCTTCAGAGAGTGAAGGATGAGCACCAAGGTCTGAACTGGCAGCCATTTCAAAATCTTCTATCATCTTCACTAGCTATAAATGAAACCCAAAAACTAGGTAATGATACTTTTGCATGGTATTTCTGAGACTTGCACCTCAGACATTCATGTAAAGTTCACTTTTAATACATTTTTTTTCCTCAGAATCTTACACATAATATAATGGAGTACCCTATTTTGGTTCAAAACAAATAAAATTGTTCAGGGATCAAAGTAGCTCAAAGTACATTCACTTCATCTGAAGATTTTAACTTGGATCCTTACTCCTTCTCTTCACCACTCAGAACAACCCCAGCGCTTTCAGCCTCTCTTCACAGGAGGGGTGCTCCAGTCCTCTGATCATATTCTTGGCCCCCCTCTGGACTTGCTCGAGCAGCTCTGTATCTCTCTTGTTTTGGGGGCCCCAGAGCTGAATGTAGTACTGCAGGTGGGGTCTCATTTTATGAAATAAATAGGAACAGGTTCCAGAAACAGTTACATATACTGCAGAGGTACAACTGCAGAAATCTTTGCCAAGAAGATCTACTGCTCAGATTGAACTTTTGTGCTGTTCCATTTTCCCAGTTGCAGAGAAACTAAGTATTCTATCCATTCACTCAGTATTCTACGCATTCGCTGAGATAATCACAATCCTGGACAGCACTGTATGTAACCATGTCAGCCAGCAGATACAGCACAACAGGTGAAAGAACTGTGTATTCCTCTTGATTTCTCTCAACAAAGGCTAATCAGATGTAAACGTATATCATTCCAAGATTCAGATTTTGCCTTTAGCTGAAAGAAGTTACAAAATAAATTGTTTCAGACACAAGAGTTAGCAGTCAGAACTCACCTGTTTGGTATTTCTGAAATCCTCCTCCATATTTTCTGTAATGCTCTGTAATCTCTGTAATTGCATATCCATTTCTTGCTGATTTGTGGAAAAGTATTCTTTACCAGTTACTTTGGATGGAAGCCCTGAAGAGGGAGCTCTGTCATCTTCATGTAGTATGTTCCAGGTTACACTATCTATTGCAGAACCTGGCTTATCTTCCTTTTGCACTTGGCTTGGTAAATTTTTCAGATGATTGTCTTGGAAAAAGAAAGAAAAAGAATGCACTGACATTTTTGAATGCTGGTGCAAAAACTGCACCAAATTAACTTCACTGTTGGTGGAAACCTGCAACCATTTAAGCGACTAGGCATAGCTGTGCTACACCTAATAGCATGTTTTAGGAAGCAGGAACCATTGCAAAAGAATTTAAATGTGTAAACGTTTTTACATATAAGGCTAAAAAAGCAGGAGGTGAGTTGGAGAAAGGCTGCAGGCTTTCTGTGGCAGATAACGGTGTTACAATGAAAGTATATATCTCTTTTTTTCTGATTTAAAAATGAAATGGTTTACCTTTCTTCTGAAGCCCCTGGGGTGGAATTGCATTAGCAACAGATGCTATCATGTGATGAAGTTTTTCAGCAGGTGGAATTTCAAGCTTATCATTTTGCTGTGCAGTAGCTGTCTCTTCTGCAGAGTTGGGTATTACAGGCAAATTGTTAAGTATATCATTGTCTTTAATATCAATCACACTGATATATTCATGTTCACTCTAAAAAAGAAAAAAGTTTATGAAGAATTATGTGGTATGCGTCTTGCATACATTAACCACCTCCTGTGATTACTTCTTACCAGACTGAATTGAAAGGCTTTTTGTTTTGCAGGCAAAATAACTACAATCTTCCTTACAGTATTATACAGCTGACTCATTCGGATCAGTCAATTTATGAGGTAAGACAAACAGTACACTTAAAATTTTTTTCAATTATTATGTACATTGGACCACTAACCAAATCAGGTGCATCTGACAGAAAGCATGGCAAAGGCGTCTCATTCACTTCCGTGGGGAATCTCTGGTTTAAATACATGTCTTGTACTGGTATCTCAGGGACACTAGACATTTCTATGAGAAAAGAATAAGTCATGTCATATTTAGAGTAAAAGCCACAAAATTTCAGACAAACTATTTGGAAACAGGTCCACATTCTAAATGGTAAGAAAAGCTTGGTAAGTATTTCTTTTAAAAAACAGACAATGTACCTTAATAGATTTAATGTTCACTTCTAACAATAAATCAGTAAATTCTTTGGTGACAAATTAGCAGAAAAATACTCAAAAGATTAAAACCAGAGCAACATACTGCAGTCTCAATTGCTTTTCATTTCCAATTCCCTCATGAATATACTAAAAAAGTGTATTTTTATTTGATCCAAATAAATGATACTACTTGGCAAGAAAGATCTCCAATAAACTATCTGCAAAGAAGTCATGTGATGTAGTAAAATATTCTTCCAAATGGAACAACACTTGAATTCTAAAAGAAAGGAAAAGTTAATATGCTCACTTGGTATTATAGGAAAAATACTTAGCTACTGAATTACGTGTAGTACAATTCATCAAAGATTTATAAAACGGGGGAGAAAACCAAAACCAAAATAAATCTTTCTTAGCCCCAAATCAAACTTACCTTCTATTTTTTGTTCTACAAACTGACCCAAAAGATGACTAGTTGGGAATAAAATTCCTATTTGAGACTGGAACATTGTTACCTGGCATATAGCTATTACACAATTTACCATATGCATGGAACAACTGTTTAATTAGCTGAGCTACTACAGCTCAATTTCATGTGGAGCAGCGATCTGTCTCAACATCCCACTTATCAAGCCATTTGGACTACATAACACCAACTCCCCAAGATGAACCAGCACTAAAACCAAGCTAAAATCCACAAATGTAATTCCTCATAAAGGAAAACAAAAGCACAGGTACAGTGCTCCATGAAAAATTCCAGCCAAACTTTTCATAGTCTGTATTATAGTTATTTCACAGTTGGTTTTGAGAAGTAGATAAATTATCATACTCTTATCTATATCCTGCATTAAGCTATCTCATTATCAAAACCCATGTTAAAATAGCAGTATTTTTGCATAATTCCACAAAACTAAATGAAGTAGAGAAAGACTGAAGCCACACCTGACACAGGAAGAGACATGACTGACTCATTGTTTTGAGATTCAGAAATTTCATTTCCAGCACTGACTCCAACATCCTGATACGATTTGAGCACTGGATAAGAGTAAAAAAAACAAAACAAAACAAACACAAAAAAAACCATGAATTTAAAGAAAGTAAAGACACAGATGGCATTACCTGAATGGACATTCCTAACTTCCTAGCTCACAACCAAAGTTGGGGGGAAAGAGGCAGGGGAATAATTTCAGTGACATACTGTCTGAAATGCAAAGATAAAACTCCATCTGAGGTACAATGAGCTTTCAGAAAAAGTCACAGCAGAACTGACTTAGAGAAAGCATGTGGAGACTCTTACATGAGTACATCAGTAATATATTTATTTCTCGTAATTTTAACGTAAAATTGTGTGATTTATCAGTATCTTCTGGTTTAAGACTTTTTGAAACAAAAAGGAGCATGAAAAACTACTTTTCCCTTTAAAAACTTCACTTTGGAAACTGAGCAAATACTTCAATTAACAAGAAGCAATACCAGAAATAGTTGGTTGCTGCAGGCCACACAGGTAACACTTACATGGGTCAGTACTTGTACTTGCATCTTGAGTTTCTGCTGGTTTTTTTCCTGTAGAAGCCACGTAATGAAGATCCGCTGAAACAGTAATTGCTTCCCCCTTGGTGTCTAAAATGTGATAATACACAATAGGCATCTACAAATAATGCAAGTACTATAAATCTATAAAACCAGTAATACCGACTCAACACTAAGGGCTCCAACAGATTTTTCTTTGCATTTCTGACAGACAATTTTAACCCTTCCCTAAGCATATTTCATGAACGATTTTAAGAAAAGTCTGTACTACCTGCTTTGTGTGAATATGCAGCTGTACTAAAACCTACAATGTTATGCTGAATTAATATCAAGGCTTAGTCTGGACATGTGATTTTTAAATTAGATATTTTAGTATGTTGTACAATAACAATTTGGTCCATATTTTTAAAAGGGAGAAATATTTGACATTAATATCTTTCTTTCTTTATTGGTGTTTCTATAGAGATTTGCCAGCCAGTATTTCTTCTAATGCCAGATTTCAGAGAATGGCTTGCATTTTGTCCTCTGACGGAACTAAATATTGTGCTGAATTAATGTACTAAAAAGAAGCAAATCTTTCTATAGGCACTGTTTTTATTTTGCAAGCTAGAAATATTGTAAACATTCAGTTTCTTTCAAAAGAGCCTTATATTTTGTGTAAGTAGACAAAATTATAATAAAATAAATATATTTCAAAACCAAATTATTTAGAATTTAAAATCATTTAAAGCATTCTTCTAATAAATCGCATTAACATAAATCACATGAACCTAAGTCACTGTGAGCCATAGTTACTGAAATTCACTCAGCATACTGTTACTATTTTGTGAAGTCTGTTGTTTATAAACATAAATGCAAGATTATCACTGATTTTTAAAAGAACCTAACATACTTCTATAACGTTCATGAGAATTTTTCTGAACTTACAGATAATTGACAGAAGATCTTAAATTTGCATGCATCTCTCTCCACACCAGTAACTCAAAAATTGACTATCCCACCAAAAATCTGAGTATCTGTTATACATCCTGAAAGGTTTTGCTCATGTTCTGGGGAAAGATCTCATAAGCCATCACACTGTATTACCCACCAACTGCACAACTTGATGACTGCAGAGTTTTGCTTTGAAATTAAACTTCTGTTCCTTGACTTAGTTTATTTAAGCACACAAAGCATTAAGAAGAATTGTACTTGCCCGTTGAAATGAAAGAAGCATCTTGAAGGTAAGAGGCAGATTTTGCTTCTTGATCCTAATATAAGAAGAAAAATAATTATCTTAAAAAATAGTTCCAATGCCAATTAAAGGCTTTCTTGATGCTGTTAACTTTCCAATATACCCCGTTTGAATAAAGACTAGGGGAGGATCATTATAATGTACTTTTCTTAACCCCTTTTTAAATACTTCTGATCCATTCCAACTTAGTGGAATTACTGATTATGTAACATTCTTCCCCATATGTACCTTGGGAGTCATGTGCAGTAATAAATTTATCTGTTGTACTATAATTAACATCTCCCACGTCTGATGAGGCTCTGAGAAATAGAGCCTGATGCTCCTGAGTACTGATCTAGGTTTTAATCTGGTAGTGTTCCAGTTTGAAATCTGATACTTGAAAGGTTAATCCCTAAATATGTGAAAAGACAGCAGAAATGCCTAGGCAAACAGTAGAACTCCATAAATCAAAACCCTGCTTGATGAAGACCTTCTGAGTTTCTTGGCTGAGAGAAAGCCGAGAACTCATGCTCCCCATACTCACTCCTGTACTGTCACAATTTAGCATCATGTGAAAAGAGTAACATCTGGGTCATCTGCCCTAGCACTACTAGGCTAAATATTTATTTATTTAAGCAATTAGTGTTTGTGTATATATTCATTTTAAATGTACATACACTCCAATATTCTACCAAAATAGCCATGTTCATGTCCCAGGCAAAACAAGAGCAACCTTGGAATACTTTATAAAAACAAATCTCTTCTTTACAGGAAATGCAAGACATACAGTGTTTCTAGGCTACAGCCTGAAGGAGATTTACACAACTGTTTTGGTTTACAGCTTCCTGCTTCTTTCTTTCTACTTAATACTTGAATGGAAAATTAAAAAAATATTTGTATACCACAGTCCCTGTTTCAACAGCCATCACTGAATCACTGATACCGATGATAGAATCATCTGGACGGAAGGACACACTCTGTTTCTTCTTTTCCTCCTTCTCTTTCATGTGTATCTTATCACGCCTCTTTTGTCTGTCAACATATTAAATACAAATAAAAATAACAGCACTGAAACAATAAAAGTACCTATCATTTTCTAAGAAATATTACTGTTAAGAAATATATAATGAAATGGACGAGGCCTTGGGTGATATGATTTTGCATGAGGTGTCCCTGCCCATGGCAAGAGGGTTGGAACTAGATGATCTTAAGGTCCTTTCCAACCCTAACTATTCTACGATTCTATAAAGATGGAAAAGACAAACATAACCAATTCAGAAACAAAGCCTATATCTTTATACTGAAAGAGGATAACCCTTGTCAAAAATTACTACAGTGATGACACTCCGTGCAGATGGTAGCTCGTTAGGATTCACTGGGTAAGCAGCAAAGCACTTCATAAACAGTATACAGCAAACAGCCACAAACCACAGGTACCAGCATGTAAATCATTCCCTCTCGAAACTTCTTCCTATCAGCCTGATAGCAGCAACAGCCCCTTCATATCCTTCTCCTGCCGAGTCATTATTAATACTTTTTTTTTTTCTTCTACTTTATTTGAAGCTTCTGTAAAAACTCCCACTGATTTCAAAGCTAGAACATATAGGTTACCAGTAAGTCTTTCAAAATAAAGACCCACTTTAAAAGTTAGCTTGCCTTTTTCTATTATTCTGCATTCTTAGTTCAAATGGTTCAACGTCAGTTTTTAGTAACAGGATAGGTTCACTTCGGTCTTGTCCAAAGGAAGTACTGGGCACAGTATTATGCTGGTGGCATTGCTCAAATGCAATGAGATCTTGAAGTGGAATGAGTTTTGGTGCCTGAAAATATTAAGAGAAAGAAGCAAAATGAAACAATCCACAAAACAGGAGGGGGACACCAGTCAGACTGGATGAAAATTTTGGATCTCAGTTATACAAACATCACCCCCATAGCTGTTTTAGAAAGTGAAAATGTAACATGAACAGCATCAGACCAGAATCTCAATGAATGTGTATGTGTGTGAACTATATTCTGAAAGTAAGCAAAAAAAAGGGTTGGACTAGATGACCTTCAAAGGTCCCTTTCAACCCAAACTATTCTATGTTTTTACATGAATTTTCTTCACAGAACATATTTCACTAATATTTGCATATCTAATGTATGTAGTTGAGGATGACGGCAGGAACCATGCGATGCAGACAAGGACTGAAGGAGCACCTGTCAAGGAAAATCACTTCCACTCCTTTCAACTGGAATGCATATGTCTATTAGAACATTTCCCAAAACATCAAATTTTGAACCTGAAGGTAAGGTTATCTTTTTAGCATTCCATTTCTGCCCTTAAAAAAAAGAGAATTCCTTACTGCATTCTTTGTATTTCTGGAAATAATTCTATTTATATTTCTGCAACAACAGAACTGCGTTTTGTCATGTAAGTATTATGCAGTTTTTTAGACACTAAATTCCTATATTCAGTACTAATTCAGGTGACTGTTGATGAATGATGGAATGTGGACTCAATCTAACATCATTAAAAATATTTCCAAGCTTGCACCATGCCCAATATTGACATGCCAATAAACAGGTACCTCAGTTACAGATCCCTTCTGGCAGCTGTGTCAAATGCTTCCAAATTCCACAGTCTGGAAACATTAACTTATTTTTGATGAATAAAAACCCAGAAAACTATAAACCCCCCTACAGTTTAGAAAAACATTAAATCCAGTACCTTATTTTTTTGAGGTAAATTAGCATGGAGTAGTGATATTCCTGTGTGCTGTAGTGTTTCTCTGCAGTCAGTCTGCTTTGTTGCAAGTTTAAAAGGTAATAAAGTAGTAGGGATTGGCTGCCTTACAACTGGTAGAACTCTAGGTACTGGGTCAAGTTGCAAGTGCAACAGTGGAATACCAGCCAGGTTCTGAGTGTTCAGTGCTTTGCCCATATTTACATCTGCAGAGAATTGCTGCTGAGGTGAAACTTCTTGCTGTCCTTCAAACTGATCTAGATTCAGATGTTTGTGAGGTGCCTCATGCACTGCTTTTGCCCATCTTTTCTCTCCCCCAAGCATTTGCCTTGGGATCTCAGGGTCGTATCTATCCATACTGAAACCTTCTTTTGCCTTACTCCTTCTTGGTGTGATTGCCGACTGATGATTCCATAAGGAATCTGGTGAACTCCAAGCCACTTGTGGTACTGGCGGTGGTCCTGCAAAAGCTGGTGACATTTCAATTGGACGTAGAAATGCTGGTTTGCAATGATAACCTGATTCAAGCTTAAGCAAAGGAAATCCATTTGAGTGATGCAGGTTTTTTTCAACAGGGAAAAACTTTGGTCTTTTCTGGATGTCTGTGGAAGGAGCTAGGAGATGAAGTGGTTTAGTAGGTGCTGAAGAATGAAAACCTTGAAATGGTGGCATAAATCCCATTTCTTTGCTGTGATTTTCTAACAGGCCTGAAGAAACATTCGCATCCAGATGATTCTAAATCAGGAAAAGGAACAAAACAGCATTTACAAGTGCCTTGATGTAGCAACCATGCACTAAATATGAACAAGAATTTTATACATCTTTTTGGCCTATAGCAATCACTACAAAAATATTTCATAATTTAGCAGGACAGATAACATGTCAGACATACAAAACAGTCTTCATAAACAACACTATGATATACCTACTTTCATATAGCTATTGTGGCTTTCATCACTTGAACTACTCCTTAGTTGAAAATCAGAGCTCTTTTGACCAGGTTTTCCTTTATCTTCTTGAGCAGGCACTTGTGTTTTCAGAGAGCCATTGCTTTCTGCAGTGTGTGCAGGTTGGCCTCCTTCCAGGGGAACAGACTGATGCTGTTGCAAAATTTGTTGCACATTTGGCAGGCTGGCAAAGGATGACTGCACTATTTGCATTAAACTCAGGAAGTTGATTTGTTGTAGCTGGATAAACACACACAAAGTTAACACTGTAAACAACAGGAATATTAGGAAAATATTCTGTCTAGGCTATGTTATAACCTGTTAATCATCCTATTAGTATAGGTAACAAAATAAGAAACATAGGTAACAAAATAAGAAACATCCTGAAGTTTTAATAATGATCCACTTGTATGATTGTTTATTGCACTGGACTTTAAGACATTAATTACCTGCTAAAGTAAGACAAATTCCTTCACCTTTTTGTGAAGTTTGAGTAAGTTCAAGGTCACATAAAACTGTTCCAAGGTACTAAAAAAAAATTAAATCTTAGTATAGCTGCAAAGTTATCACAGCTTCAGAATTTTCCTAATTAGAGCACACTGAATTCTGTGAAATAAAACACACTCAAATTTTTATTATTATATTACTTATTTTCTCGAGTCAAAAGTAACAGTCTGAAATAAGTTCATAGTAGTTTATGTGGAACTCATAAGTTCTGAAGAACTACGCACAGAATACCTTTAAACCAGTCATCCTCTCCGTTGCTTTAAATAACATAGTTTGTATACTGTAAAAACTATTTTCAATAACAAGATTCTCTCACCTGAACTAACTTAAACATTTCATCTTGGAGCATCTGCCTGACAGTTCCTGATGTGCTTAGTTTCTCTTCTGTAGGGACTTCTTCCTTGACTTCTTGCTTCTTTGCAAAAATGGAAGTAGCAGAGGCAACACTTGACATAGTTGACACAACAGTCTGAGAAGGCTGATCATCACTTAAACAAATATCTGTATTACTTAAGAAGGAAAAGAAAAAAACTATGAAAAGCATTCATAGGCAGAACACCTATATGAGGCTGCCTTAAGCTGACCCAGAAAATTTTAAAGATACCTTAATTTTTCTAAAGCATAATTAATCTCTAGGAATAATTTAGTAATTAACACTGCACAATCTTGACTGGACAGCATGTACGATATCTTCTTCCTAATACTTCCTAATATACTGAATGAAAACCAGTAGTAAAGATGTAAATTCTACCCAATATTTTAGTCACGAGGCTACCTGAAATGTTATCTTCACTAGATATACAGGCAGAAAACAATGATATGACAGAAAGACAACAGGTTAGTCAAAAATCCAAACATCTGATGGAAAATGGAGAAGGACATTATTAACTGGAGTAAGAGAAACAGCACATTAACTTTTACTTAAATAATTGAATGTGGCTTTATATATTTGGAATTGAAAATCGTAACAAAATTTAAGATGAGAAAACAACTGAAATAACTTGTACCAGACAATACAATATATTGTATTTTTTCAGAGATAATTAGATATTTCAGTAGGCAAAGACTATTAAGTAGTGAAGTCCTTAAGTGAAGAAGAAATTGTTAGAATTTACATTAAGTTACAAAGAAACTGAATGACTTTACCTACATCAACAGAAATTGATCCAAAAGACATTTCTCTATTTAAGAAAAATGCTGTCATTGCTACGTTACAGGCAACTTTCGGAGTATTTTTCTGCAATTGAACAGGATGGCTTCCAATCATGTGAAGAAACATAAGCATAAAGCAGTGGCTAATGAATAATACTGAAAAGGTTTTGGGTATGTAATGCGCGCGAATAGGCACAGGAAATCTTCTGGAAGACAGAATGTGTAAACATGGTCCCAAAGCCTAAAACTTTGAGAATTTTACTTTTTTTTCAAGCTGACATGAAAAACTTAAGAATGAGATGAGATTAGAGACATGTAAATGGAATCCAAAGTGACATATAGTCAAGATCTTCCTCTAAATGGAAAGAGCTCATAGAAGACCATTCCAGAAGCGGAAGTCTGAGATTAACTCCTGATTCCTTCTCCCGATTCCAACATTCTCTGTTTACAGAAATGTAATATATATTTATGTGTATCTAGCAGTTACTGTAGGACAGATACATATTTTAATAATTTAATTAAAATATGAATAGGTCTATTATGCTACTGTTTCAGTGTTTTACACAACAATGTACCTTCTATACATACAATGATTCTGTCTGGAACTAGGAAACAAAAGTATTCCCTCAAAATCTGGTAGTTCTGAGTTAACCTGTTTGATTCATTTGATAGTCTGCACAAGAACTATGAGTATATTATCCTCAATGATTACAGTACAAAAATGTTTCAGCAAATGCCACTTAATACTACCACTTGAAGGTACAACATACTATATTTGCAAATACTTTGTAATGAAACCTATGTATCATGTTACTTTAGCCTGAAAATTTATATAAAATATTACAGTTTTATCTTACCTGGGAAATTCTGCATCTTCTTCTAAAGAAAACAAGTGAGAAATGGTGCCATTGACAACCTCAGTCATGCTACAAAGAAAGAAAAAATGAGTGCTGTAAATACTACAATAATTTGTTACGCTGTTTATTTTCATTTCATGTACATTTATATACATATGGGGGTGTATATATATATATATATATATATATATATATATATATATAAAACCTCCCCAAAAAAGAATTTGTATGAGATAGAATACCTGAAAGCTACATCAGAGCTATACTGATCTGCATTGCTTCAACTACCATGTTATACTGCAATTTGACCTAGCAAATATTGACATCTGTGCTTTATCTCCCTAGCAATAAGAAACCAACTCAAACAAAAGCACTGAAAAGGTTCTATTCAACACAAACATGAGGGAAAAAACAGGTTGATCTGAGTTGGCAAAAGAAGAGAAAAATCCAATTTAAGCAATGCTGTTAGTATCATTACAATCTGCCTTCCTAAAAACCAAAAGCCAGTATCGCAAGAAATCCTTGGGTATCATATGCGCAGTTATTTTTGTTTCTCTCAAAAAATACACCATTTTAAAACAGTACAGGACAATAAGTCCTTCCATTTAAAATGTTTTCATAAACATTATGTATATACAGGAATTTTTACTTATGTGCCATCACAATTACTCAGATTTTCTAAACCTTAAAACACTCAGGCACTGTATATCAGAGGAAAAGTTTTCACTACTACAAATTTAGAGGAATCAAGAAGAAAGCTAACTGAAATGATAAAAATAGGTTGATACTTTTCTGTCATTAAAACATATGAAAAAATTTCTAAAGACCAAGATTCTGTATGGTAAACATAATGGACGCCATGTTTACAGAATACAAAGTTTCTTCCCTTGAAAAACTTCAGAGAAATCATGTGAACAGTATTCTGTTCAAAAGATGATTTGTCTAACAAGTTTATGGACGTTTCCCATAACTTAATACACCTTTATAAATGTAGATATATTTCAGAACAAAATTTTAAATTTTTAGATTGTACAAAATACCTCCTTCCTCCTTTCAGGAGCTAACAAGTTTACCACCCATATCCATTTTTATCTCACCTTCTGCTCCTAGACACCAATCTCTCTTTCTTCTGTAACATGTAACAAATTAACTGTTAATTAGAGTAAGAGATCCCCACCTGTCTTTAGCCTGAAGATGCTGCCCCTATTCCAGCTCTGGAGAATGAACTGTGTATGTGAAAGCTCTTCCAGTTATTCTCTATCGTTTCCCCAGATATAACATACACATTCCCCAAACCATGCCTCTTGTATTTGATCACTGTTAAATAATTGCTCATCCAGCCAGCATTTTGTATTGTGAAATTTGTATTCCAATATGTGAAATAGATGACTTCAGTTTTTGTGTTTGTTGAGTTTTGCCTAAAAATTTAAAGTAGTTTTGTTAAAGTTAAAAGAGAAACTAAAAAAAATAAAAATTCTCTCACACATTCTCTTCAGCCTTCCCTTCTGTTGTTTTTGCCGTATTTTGATCTTCCTGGGGATTATCTACTTCTGAAAAGGAGATCTGCTAGAATATAAAAACATGCATATGGACTTGTAAATTTTTATATTGACCTTCTGCTTCAATGAAGTATTACTAGCCTAAGGCAGACATACTTTTGCTTGATCAGCCACTCGAAAAAATATGACTGAAAAATAACCAAAATTACATACTTGTCAGAGCACAGCTACAGATCAGAAATAAAGAGATAGCCTAATGATCCACCTGGGAATCTTTCTTTCTGAGTCATTATTATGATTTTTCATTTTGAAATTCATATCCATAAAGTACCCTGGAAAAACACTCTGCTAATCTCACACCCCTTAGATAAAGATGAAAATGCAGAAAACCCGATTTATTTTTTTATTTACCTGCTTTTTTATATGTGTATGCATATATAATCTTATATATTTATTTGTGGTGTTATACACTATATTGATTTAATATAATTTACATGTAAGTGTATGTACTGTGTATCTAAGCATACATGTGGTTTTACAAACAGTGAATTTGTTTTCAAAAGGGCTCACAGCAGATCTCACTTTACTACTATTTAATTACTTGTGACTTTTATCACTGATTGAAGCAGGGAAAAAAAGAACCAATCCTAAATGCTTTAAGTCTTCAATTTCTTACTTGCATTGAGGAATACAGGGTATTTTGAAAAGAGCATTCATAATAATCTGATATTCCATGCAAGAGACAGTAACTTGCCTTTTCTCTTTGGTGTTCTATAGGTTTGATTTTGACAGAGCTGGTGGAGCTCTTTGGAGTTTCATATGGCTCGTCAAAGAACTCTATAAAATAAACACAATTACTCTAAGTCAGAAAACCACATGACATACAGCACTGTTACGTGATTTCTATCAACTGATCAAATGAGCCTACATTTTCCTTTCCCACAAAGAGAAAGGGACTGAGCAGTGTCTCAGAAAATTCAAAGCTTCTGTTCTAACTAGTGATGATAAAGACATCAGAAGGAAAAAAAAGACAAAAAAAGCTTATTTTCACAGTAGGAATATGATAACCTATGCATACTCAGCTCTTAAAATTTTCAAATCATATTTTACACAGTTGCATTGGTACTTCTGAATGAAAAGAAAGAATGACATACATTAATATATATTGTCTTATCTCTACAGCAAATAGACGTTATAGTATAAAACATCAGTCTTGAGAAAGCAATTGTTTAAAATTTAGTTATAAAATCTATATAATAATAATTTCAACAGAACAATAAAAACTTCTTTCAATTTTTTGATTAAATAACCAAAGGGACATATACCCCTATTCAGGCAAAACTCCTACTGTCTTAAATGTCAAAGCATGGTAAAATGATCTACCATAAAAACAAACCTATATCTGATGCTATCTCTTTCTTCTGAACAAATAGTCCCACTTCATTATGATCTTCAGTCACATGAGGTACAGAATAATTCCCATATTTAAGTTCCTTGTTATTAAAATATTTTGACTTTGCAGACATCCTGGTAATTTGAATTACAAAAGATAATTAACAATAGAAATAATGTAAGTATCTTAGTTCAGGTATGCTGTTCATCTCAAACTGCAGGCTAATGCATAGTAATAAAATAAACACTACTGTGAAATAATCAATATTCATCTAAATTTTCTGTCTGAATTTCACTTAAACCGAGACTAACACTATTTTTAGATTACATTTATTTCCCTCACTGAAACTTCCTTTATAAAACAAATAAAAAAAAAATCTTGTGACAGAGGATACACAATAATATCTCTGAATACTAATGCCAAAGATTTTTTTGCCTCTTCAGTGTAGCAGAAGATAAAGAGAAATGCCACAAAGGACATTTCCAACATCAAACTGTGTCAGGTATTAGCAAAATATTTACTGTCTTTCCAACAGTATGCATATGAGCATAGCTAGATTACAGATCCAGGTTAAAATAAACTAACACCGTGAACTCTCTTCTCAAAATGAAGAAAATTAGTTACTAAAGAGTGAAAGTTTTATGAATCCTTTGAGAAAACCATGATATCCATTTTATCAGGAATTTACGTCCTATTTCCACATCACCAAGTTTACAAACAACCGTGTACAATTCACTTCATATGCAACAGCCACATTGTTTTCTAGCTAGAGGTACATCTGCTGATGAAGAATATTTAATATGCTTCATGCAGCTGTAAACAATATACATGAATTTAAATTTGCACTAAAAAATAAACATGTAACATGTATTAACAGTAGAACTCTTCATGCTGATGACATGCTGCTTAGCTCAGGAATTACGACCAATTACAGTTCTCAGGTTAAACAAAGGTAAGTTACCCCAAACCAGTTTCACAAAGATCATCATAGGCTTGTATGCTCTGGACATCAACAGAAGGATTGGCCAGTATGGAAGAGCCTTCATCCATACTACTTTCTTTCTCTGTCCTAGACTGTGCTTCTGACAGAGATGCAAATTCTTTTAGATTTTGATTATCCGGACTCTATTAATAATGACAAACAAAATTCGTTAAAAAAAAAACAACAAAACAACAACCAACCAACCAACCAAAAAAAACCCTAATACTCTCAAAAAACTCAACAATTTCATACAGTATGTTTATGTTTAACTTCACCCCTTTTCTCTCTTACAGAGCTCAGAAATTCTGGATTTACAGTTGCTATGGAACCTAAGCGTCACCCCTTTTTGCATTAACTGAAGGCATAGTCCTCTGAATTATCTGAAAGAAACATAAAATTAGAGATCTGCCACTGTCAATTTAGCATAAGTTGTCAAAGACATTGTGTGACAATACTCTCTATACAAAGATATATAATTAGATTTGGCCTTCATCACACTCAATACAAAACTCTAAAATTATCACTGAAGGCAGTATAAGTGGCAAAAAGCCATACATCACCATGCACTTAGATGCACACACAGAATTTCGGCAGTAAATTCTAAGTAAGATACAGGTGGCACTTCTCAGAAAACAGAAAATACACCCCCAAACCAAGACAAAAATCTCTTAACTGGGAGAAAAACCTCCTCAAAAAAACCCTTCAGAACCCTCTCCCCTCAAAGCCTTTCATGCAAAGTTAATTAGAGGATCAATGATCTAGGTGTACCTAAATACAAAGCCATACTCATCAGGTTCTTCTGCAGATCTTTTACATTAACACACATCCTCCAACTCTTTGCAATAGTGCTAGATAGAAATTCAGAATTCACTTTTCACCAACCTAACTAGCTTAAGTACTCAAGTCAGACTGTATCTGCTGTGTCCTCAAAGATGAGCGAATCTAAACTCAATTAACCCCAGAAAAACTAATTATTTGTCTTGTTTTACCACACCCCTATCTCCAGTACTGGGATTTTTCAAAGATAATGTCTAAAACTAGACACAGACGCTAAATTTCTAGGAATTTGGTCAAATAATGTGGTAGCTAGATAAATGCATCAGTTTTTGAACAGGACTTCCAAAGAGACTTTCATCTCCAAACAGTCTTCCTACATACAGAATTCCAGTATTCCTTTTCCTAGCAACGCTTAAAGGAAAGGCTAGTAATCAATATTCCAGGTTTTGCTAAGAACAGAACTATTCAGTAAAAGATGTGCGTGATTTTCTTTACTGTCATAAATAACTCACCATTTCACTGACACACTTATCCTCTTTCTTACCTTAAATTTTATGCTCTTTTTGTGAGATTCATCTCCATATAACTGTTCTAACAGCCACAAAGAAGTAAGGACAGCAGCCGCTGAAGTTTTCACATGTATTATTGGGAGAACTTCTTGTAAGGAATCTTGTTTATTGGAACCGCAGAGCAGTCTTTTTTCAGACCATCTTATCATCCACTCAAGCAATTTTGCAATATTGCTCAACTTACCCGTCAATTCTACAGGTAGTTGCTCTCCTGGTACAATATCAACCATACCAACAGTTTTGTAAACGTACTTAGAAGTTGCCTGAGTTTGCAGGCTTGAGAATGTATGGTTAGGAAACGTCTGGCTTGCTGATGCAACAGTGACTTCTTGATTGTCACTCTGAGCTCTGTAAATGGATTTGCGTTTTAAACCAAATAGTCCATCATTAAATCCTTTCATTAGGATACACACAGGAGGTTCTGTTATCTGTAGAGCGGACCGTAAAATGGCTTGATTTTCAAAATTATTTTGGTTTTCATTACAGACAGATGCTGCTTCAGGATCACAAGATGCCAGGGTGACAGTATAGGAGGAACCTGCTCTAAACACTCTCTGGCTCCTAGTTTTGCCTTGCCGACGTTTTAGTGTTGTATGAACATCAAAGAAGAGAGAGTTTAACTCATGCTCTTGAAGAAGTCCAGAAAAGCTATTAAGAAATGGAATTCCAAGGTCACTGTAGTTCACCAGGTCTCTCTCAAGAATGTAACTCAAGAAGAGTTCTAAAAAAATTACATATTCATCATCATCACGTTCAAATTCCCATGCACCAACCACAGGCATAATAGATTGATTATGCATATCTTCTTCACATACGTTGTCTTCAGGCTTTGTTTTGCAGTTAAAGGCTTTTATCTTGCATGAGGTATTTTTACTGCCTATTTCACCTTGTCTCTGATGTTCATTATCCCTGTAAACAACAAATGTAAGTACTGTTAACACCAAAATCCATTGTTAGAAGAATTACATGAAAAAAAAAAGTAAATACTACATTAGCTCCTTTACTTCCCACTGCTAAAAATGGGAACAACCCCAAATTTACATTAGCATTTTATGTATTAATACATTACTAATTAAGGTGGCAAATCGATCAAATTCAAAATCCACAGTTTTTACACAGACAGTAACTCAGTAGTATCTATCATACATGAACATGGTCATAGCTGATAATATTACACTTCAAGAATGTACTAGTCACAGAGTAACTGATGTAACACTGGCATTTCTAAGATTTGATAACTTTTTAATTCTTTATTTGATAAATTACTCAATGTGACAATTATCCAGTTCAGTGAAAAGATTAGTTAAACACGAAGAGACAACTTTTTCTCATTTGTTTTTTTTTTTTTTAATTTAAATAGGAAGATCTCTGCTGCAATTCTGTGCATACCTTTGGAGTGAAGGTGTTTGAGCTCTCATTTCTTCAGCAAACAAGGCATCAGAAAGCGTATCTGCTGTGTCAGCATCACTATATACCTGAGGATTCCCAAGATCAGTAAGTGTGCTTCTGCTTAGACTAGTGCCTAATGAGAATCTGTCATAACAGTGTTCATCGTTTGCTGCTTCCTCTTCTGCTGGCTCCCAAATATTAATTTCTATAGGGCCTATGCTCTTTATTACCTGTTTCAAGGCCTTCATTCTCGCTTTTTCAGTAGCTTGTATAACAACAGACATAATTTCTTCACTTTCAGAACCTACCAAAAGAAAAAAGCCAAGATATTTTAAATGCAAGCTTCCACAGCGCAGTAATTCTCTCAAGTTGAGAAGAATGAACTTCGAATTGTCATAGATTATAGCCATTTAGAAATACAGACAGAAACTGATAAAGTGAAGAAACATCACCAAGTTGGAAGTCATGATATTCTGCTATTGGCACAGACATATCAGAAAGAAAATGCAGAATCTGCCACAGAACTCTCTCAAAGTTGTCTAACTGAAAACTGTAATTGTTTTACATGGATGGTATGACAGAAGGTATTGTCATAAGTTAATACTTCAGGTGAAAAAAGGAAAGTTTGTTTAATATTTTGTGAAGAAGGATGCACACTACCTTTAATAATACTGTGTCTCAGTTGCTGCTGAAGTCCATGATATTTATCTCTTAGTGGAACCCTTATATCTTCAGGATTAGGAAATGCTTTTACAAAAATCTCTGCCACCTGTACAAAATAAAGTGTCTTTTAAAGTAGCAAAAATACAAATAAGGTGTCATTTCCAACAGAATTTATACCACTAGGAAGTCTAACTAGTAGATTTTACAAGGAGAAGAAATATTTGTGATAATCTCCATTGCTTTTGTTCTAGCTTTAATGTCGTTTACCTTTTTGACTGGTGGCAATTCTCCAAGCAGACTCAAAATTACATCCTGAACTAATTCTTCAGCATTCATGAATCTGGAGAAAGGAAGCATTCGACAAGCCCACTCCACTGCGCTCAGACAATGCTCAATTCTGGAGGCATCATATTCACTCTTCAGATCCTAAAAAAAAATACCTTGCTACAGAAACATTAACTGATATGAACAATGTATTTCAGCTACATTATTCATGCACTGCAAATAGTAACGATTCTTTCCTAGCCAACAGAAGATAAACATCTCTAGTTTAACTGCCAAATAGAGAAGTATGTGATGCTAGGAGGCAGATCAAGGTTGCTGTAAACCATAACTTACGTATTAAAAAAAGAGCAAGCTTTTTTAAACCAGTTTAAGAAACAATCTTATTAACACTCTGCTACAGACTCTGTTTGCAATCATTTAGAACTTGAGAATTTAACTAACATACTGAAAGTAAATATTTTTACCGTGCTTTAAAGTGATCATAAATTTGCTTTTAAGATGGAACAATTTATTTTGAAACAGTCAGTAGTCTCTATCTCATTTGTCACTGTTTCAGCACAGAAAAAAAACAGAATATCTATTAGTTAAAACAGAGCCTTTCTGTTTCTTTAAATCTTGTTTTTTCTGGTTAAGAGAAGTGCTGAACCTGTTTTAAAAAGGAAGCAACCTTGGCTAAGATAGCTGAGTTGCTAAGACAGATTCTGTACTGATACAGATTATATGACAAATATCATGCTAGCAGTTTCTTTCTTTTTCTTCCATGATCACCGACAACAACTGATGAGGGTATAAGTAGAGAAAACATGATTAAATTTTAACATTTTTATTATTCTTTTTTATAAAATATCTATTTAACATTTTTGGTGTGTTGAATACACATCCATCAGGTAACACCCAAATTATTTTCAGCTAATTAGAAAAAAAAAAGTAAACTTAGGTAGACAACAAGTGTAGAAACTATTGCTCTTCTGATAATATATTTTCAATTAGAATCATAGGATCATAGAATAGTTAGGGCTGGAAAGGACCTTAAGATCAGATAGTTCCAACCCCCTGCCATGGGCAGGGACACCTCACGGTAAACCATGTCATACAAGGCTTGGTCCATCCACCAAATTGATGTCTCTCCAATTTAAAGGCAAGGATGTCATGTGGGACAGTGTCGAACACTTTGCACAAGTCCAGCCAGATGACGTCAACTGCTTTACCCCTGTCCATCAGTTCCATGGAACCATCATAGAAGGCCACCAAATTGGTCAGGCAGGATTTCCCCTTAGTGAAGCCATGCTGGCTGTCACCAAGCACCTTGTTGTTTTTCATGTGCCTTAGCATGCCTTCCAGGAGAATCTGCTCCAAGATTTTGCCAGGCACAGAGCTGACACTGACTGGTCTGTAATTCCCCGGCTCATCCATTTTCCCCTTCTTGAAAATGGGGGTTATATTTCCCTTTTTCCAGACACTGGAAACTTCACCTGACTGCCATGATTTCTCAAATATGATGGACAGTGGCTTAGCAACTTCATTTGCCAGCTCCTTCAGGACCCATGGATGGATTTCATCAGGTCCGCTGTACCTATGCATGTTCAGGTTCTTAAGATGGCCTCGAACTAGATCCTCTCCTACAGTGGGCCTAACGTCTTCATTCTCACAGTTCCTGCATCAGCATTCCAAGACTTGGGTGGTGTGCTCAGAGCATTTGTCAGTGAAGACCAACGCAAAGAAGTCTTTAAGAACCTCAGCCTTCTCCAAATCCAGGGTAGCCAGTTCACCTGAAAGCTTCTGCAGGGGGCCCATGTTGTCCGTAGTCTGTCTTTTATTTGCTACGTACCTATAGAATCCCTTCCTGTTATCTTTCACATCCCTAGCCAAGTTTAATTCTAACTGGGCCTTAGCTTTCCTAACCTGGTTCCTAGCTTCCTGGACAACATCTCTGTATTCTTCCCAGGCCACCTGTCCTTGCTTCCAACTTTTATAAGCCTCTTTTTTCCTTCAGAGTTTCCTCAGCAGCTCCTTATCCATCCAAGGAGGTCTCCTGGCCCTCCTGCTGCACTTCCTTCTAGTTGGGATGCAACACTCCTGAGCTTGCAGTATGTGATCCTTGAATACTAACCAGCAGTCTTGGGCCCCTCTGCCCTCTAGGGCTATATCCCATGGAACATTACTAAGCAGGTTCCTGAAGAGGCCAAAGTCTGCTCTCTCGAAGTCCAGGGCAGTGAGATTGCTGCACACTCTTCTCACTGTCCTGAGGATCTCAAACTCGACCATCTCATAATTGCTACAACCAAGGCTGTCCTGGAGCGTCACATTTCCAACCAGCCCTTCCCTGTTGGTGAGCAGGTCAAGCATGGCACCTCTCCTTGTCAGCTCCTCTGTTACTTGCAGAAGGAAGCTGTCTTCCACACAATCGAGGAACCTCCTGGGTTGCTTGCGCTGGGCTGTACTGTCCCTCCAACAGATGTCGGGGTGGTTGAAATCCCCCATGAGAACAAGGGCCTGCAAGTGTGAGGCTGCTCCTATCTGTCTGTAGAGTGCTTCATCCAGAGAGTCTTCTTGATCAGGCGGTCGGTAACAGATCCCCATAGTAATGTCCCCCATAGCTGTTCTCCCTTTAACCCTGATGTACAAACTCTCTTGACTTCTCACCTGCCCCCAGAGTTCCATACTCTCCAGCCTATCACTGACATAAATAGCAATTCCCCCTCCCTGCCTGCCTTGCCTGTCTTTTCTAAAGAGCCTGCAACATTTCATTCCAACACTCCAGTCATAGGAGCCATCCCACCATGTTTCTGTGATGCCTATTATATCATACCCCCATAGACGTGCACACATCTCTATTGTTCCCCATGCTACAGGTGTTTGTATAGAGCCATCTGAGCTGAGCTCCAAATGAAGCCAGCTCACTGGCTGGAGCAGCTAGAATATCTCCACACTGCTCTGAGCATTTATTACTGGTGCTAGCAACTCACTGGGTGTGTTTGGATGGAATGATGCCCCCTTCCCCCAACACATCTAGTTTAAAGCTTCCTTGACCAGTCTGGCAAGCCTCCTACCAAAGCCGCTCTTCCCCTTGCTGATCAGCTCCAGCAGCCCTCAGTAGACCTGGCCTCCTGAATTGAGTTCCATGTTCTAAATACCCAAACCCCTGACTATGGCACCACTGTTCTAACTATTTATTAACCTGCCAAATCCGCCTTGCCCTTTTAAGGTCCTCCCCTTTATCCTGGAGTATTGATGAAAAGGCTATCTGAGCTCCAGCACCCCTAACCACCTCCCCCAGTGCTCTGTAGTCCTTATGTTCTCTGGGCTACTGCTATCTGTATCACTAGCACCCACATGGATCACTAGAAGTGGTAATAGTAGGACCTACTAGACCAGGCAGCCTCTCTTCAACATCCCTGATCTGCGCCCCTGGTAGGCAACTCACCTCCCTTGAGACTGGGTCAGGCCGACAGATGGGTGCCTCTGTGTCCTTCAAAGTAGAGCCCCTAACACTACGACCCCCCACTTTTTTCTGGCAGCATCAGTAGTGATCTTCTTTACTGGTGCATCAGCTGATTGATCATGTTGTGAGTGTGTTTCCTCATTAGCCCCGTGCAGAACTGCAAAGCGGTTCTGGGTGGGGACAACAGATTTAGGAGGAAGCCCCTTGCTTTTAATTGTCCTCTTCTTCCTTTTCTTGTTGGTTAATTATTTGCATTAAATACCAAGCAAAAGCACAAAAGAAGTACTATTAGAAAATAGTAGTTCACATGGACAACACTGTTCTGTAGCATCAAATATTGCACATTGCAGCACTGTGTTAATTTTGTCCTACTAGGCAAATAAAAGTTCTCACAGAAATATACAGCAGACCTTTAAAATTCTTCTTATAGCTCTATGCAATTAAACTGTATCTTTAATATACTAGCAATGTAATTACCTTGTGATTGTTAATATTTTCCCTTGCAGTTTGGTACCGCCTACAGTTGTCAGATAATCTTTCACGAACATGAAACATCCAGCACAATGCACACAGCTCTCTGAACCAACCTACAACACAAACATGCAATGTGGTGAGATTCTATTTAAATGAATTAAATAAAACAGCTTGATATTTTTAGCTAGAAGTAACTTACATTAGTGTAATAGTAGTTCAAGAAAAAAATTACTCGCTCTTGAGCTTTTAATAATGCTCTCCAGCTAGAGTTCTTTAGTTCCACTTAGTGTTCATGTTCCTTCACATTTGTCAGATCCATAACACACACAACAATCTTTAACAGCAACTTTCAAATTAGAAGTTTTGATAACTAATGTAAAACCTGAAAATAGAACATGTTTCTGTACACATCACAGTACCCACAGGGGAGTGTACTCTCAAAAAACTTGAGTTTTTTGCATCTGTAAATTCTCTTTCTTGTGTTTTTTTTTTTCAGTTCTAAATTATCCTGTTTTTTTGTATACAGACCTAAAATTTTGCAGGTAATATCATCAAACTGATGGTCACCAGAAGTTGTAGCTCTATAGAAAACAGGGTGGAAATTGCAGTAACGAAGCAAAGTCTCTGGGAATGGACTCAGTGAATGAAGAGATCCTTTCGTTCGAATCTACACATACCATAAAAAATAAATAAATAATCAAAATTGATATAAAAATCAGTTTTTGTGTATCACTATTAAACATGCAGCCTCTCAGTTATTAGCAGAATACTGCCAAGATCAGTAAAATTCCGTTTAGCTTGCTTTCAATTTTCTTCCAATCAGTATTCTGAAAATTCATCTTAAGGAATATGTTTAGTATGAGCTATGGCACAACAAGTACTTCTGTTTGCACAGTATTCATGATACTCATGATTACCATGAAATACAAGAGCAACAAAATGTAAGAGGCACTGAGATCAAGATTAGGAAAAAAAGTTTAATCCAACACAGCCCAAGCTGCTGCCAACCAAGGCAGACTAGTTTTCCCTCTTGTTTCAGCTGGTACTTCTGATCACCTCTCTGTGCCAGCATTAAGCATGTAATCATCCAATGAGCAAACAGAAGGAAATATTTGTCAGTCAGGCCAGTTCCTGATCTGTATCACTACATGAACACTGGTGCAGGGGAGCTGAGGAAAGGCAGACAGTCGCACACACCCCCTTCTGTAGCAAACCAACATTCTTTTAAGTAGCTGTGTAATGATGACCTAAGAAAAGCCAGAGTTCACACAAAATTTGAATTTTAATCTATACATCCAAGTTTGGTTCTGTGCAAACAAAACGCATGAGTAGAACAAGACCTTACAATCCCATGCTCTGTGCACAAGGATTGACCACGTGACCTGCTGAAGTGAGTATCACCTTCTCTGTTACATATTCCACACTAAGTGAACTCTGGTTTCCTGAAAGAACTTAACAGGAACTGTAAAACTGGAAGACTACATGTAACAACATAACATCAAAGTCCGCATGGGATTGAATGCTTCTCCAATGCAACTGGAAGCTTGTCAGTAACATTTATGACCGGTAATCAAATTACAAAAAAAACAAGTTAAATGCTTACTTTTTGCATAACTTTTCTTGCCCGCTTCAGTTTTGTGATATACCACTGTGCTGCAGGGCAGGAACAATGAGCAGCCCGGAAGAGCAAGATTATTCGCTGAAGAATTCCTGACACTTTCTGACGACTTTCTCTCTCAATTTTTAGAAGAATGTCATTGCAGTCCTCCTGAAAAATGTAAATTCCAAGACAAAAACAAGACCCAAAATCAGAAAGGACATACACAATAAGAATCTAACCCAAAGACTGTGTCTGCTCCAAGAGTATTTCCATTTAGACCCTTTGTGGAAAAAACAGTCACTACAGTTCTGGTTAAGTAAATGAATAGCCATGGAAGAAACAGATGAAAAATGAGCTGGAAGGGACTAGAATAAAGATCACTATTATTTCATAAAAACATTTAGAACCCAGGAAGACCCAAGAAACTTCCATCATGCATGCTTACTTCACTGAGAGAAGCTGGCTGAGGACAGTACAATGGTGGTGCTGGAAGATAAAGCCCATCTGGAACTAAACCGTACAATTTTCTGCTAAGTTCCTTGGCAGAATCCATCAAAACCTGAAATGTCTCCGAGAGAATATCAGTATCTGCCATAGCAGCTGCTTTAAGTAGTTCCTGTATGGAACTATAAAGAACATCTGCATCTTCCTCTTCAAGGGGATCTATAAAATATTAACCACAGAAAACACTAAGTCAATTGTCTTAATACGTGGCCTTCATTCTGAAATTACAAAGCTACATTTTCAGAATTTGCATTTACCTCTTACAATGTGTACAACAGCTCTATTTGTTTTAGGATAAGATCTCTTATGTTTCAAAACAGTATTATTAATTTTTGCTTCTGCCCTGTTAAGGGGAAAGATACTGCCTTTCTAGGTAGCAAATTTAACTTTTCAGCCATGTACCTGCTTGGCATAAAATTCTGGCAAATCTTTCTCGCCAAGCAGGCATAAACTAGGTATACTATTTATAATTATTAATAAAACCAACTCTTTTTATCAGTAAGCATGATTATCAAGGAAAGGCCAATGTATTTGTTTGATCTCTTTTACATATTATTAGATTTTTTCTCATCTCCTAGAAGTAGGAGAATGCTGAAATTATTCATTAATTGGACCATGAAATTCACATAATTCTATGCTGTTCTACTTTCATTTCTACTCCATTTGTTATAAAATATGGGCTACCAAATCTTTTCACTACCTATCATACTTAAAGAGTGTTATATATAACATGGACGTATGTGTTTCTGTTTGAAATAAAAAACTTGGAAATTGGTACAAAAGAAGAGGTTAAGCCATATCCGAAACACTGTAAAGATTAACATCCACCTCCTGAAAGGAACTTGAAATGTGTTTTTTCCAAACATGCACACAAAAAAAAGAGAGTAAGGAATAGAGATCATGCCAGTACGATTTCTGTAAAATGTAAACAAGGACAGGTTGATCTAGCTAGCTGAGGGAATTACACCTGTAAGGTATTAAGTTAGGTTGTATGATAAAAAGATTATATACACACATACAAAGGAGCAGAAGACAATAGCAGGAACCTGAACACCACCTAGACCCATCCACTCACAGCAGAAAAATCAGCTTATGAAAGGATCATCTCCACAAGCCCAGAGACGTACAACAGCAAATTAAGTACTCAGACAAATGGACACCCTGTCCAGGATCTTCCCAGGGAAGACATCATCCCCTGTGTTCAGGTATGAAACCCATCAGGAAGAGACAATGGGAATGTCTCTCTTCAGGACTTTTTGGCTTGGGGTGTCACTGTCAAGAAGGATACGACATGCAGAGAATACAGGGTAAGAGTTTTCTGGAATTGTAAAAGGCTCATTATGGGATCTTTAAGATAGAAATCAAAGATATGATATGGAGCTGTGGCAGCCTCACTTTCTTCCACTAGCTCCTGTTAGCATATGTCTGTTTTCTTGAGTGAAGGGTTTTCTATTCTGTGTGTCCATGTAGAGGAATTTAAACGCCAGCAACTGGAGTGAGACCATAGATCAGAAACCCCGTGTATCTGGGATCTGCAGACTGGAGTCAGGTAAAATCAAGTGCCTGCAAGTGAAGTGGGACTACAGGTCAGAGTACCCACATTTCCATAGTACCAGCAACCAAAGAAAGTGGGGCTATGTTAAGTGACTGCACGAGTGCTATCAAGTATCAACTCAGACCAAGTGAAGTGCCCTAGGACCTAAGGGGTGTGTGCATCTCGCTCATGCAAGACAGAGCATAGGAGCTGGCAGTGATTAGAGGGACCAGCGAAGACCTGGCCAACTGCCAGAGATGATGCAGAGCTCAGCTTGTGTGACTGCATGTCCCCAAGGGCAAGAAAAGGGAATTTGCATACTGGAGGGACCAAGTAGGTTGTGACCACGTGCCAGAAAGACAGTGTGCCCATAGGTGTGTGTCTGCAAGAGTGAGGCACATGGAAAGACTGAGGACTGAGCTCCTGGGTGGACGGTATATTCAAGGCCATCTACTGTGGGGGTGAGTAGACAGTGTGTGCGTGAGAAGAGGAAGGTATTTCTGAAAAAGTCTGTACCAGAAAATGCAGTGGGGCTAGGGCATATGTGCAGACACCAGCAACTTGGGAGACTCAGCTACCAGCTCTAAACCTAGCTACTGGAGGGATCCACATTGTACTTTTAGGCATCTATATGCAGACCTTCATTCTGACTAGCAAGAGAGGGAAATGGGATGGGATTTTTGGTGCTGTTTGTACAAGCGTTGAACATGTCTGCAGGTGCTGACCTGTGTAGTTACCTGTATACACGTATAGCATATATGTCTGTGTGCGTGCCTACTGGGAATACATTCTGAGTTTTGCTGCCTGTTGGACCTGCATGAATGGAGCTGTCAGGCTATGAGACACAACTCCCTTTCACCATTAACAGAAAAGAAAGGCAAAACTTAAACACCGTCATGTAACAAATTTTAAGTAGGACGATACTTTCCATATTGTTTATATGTTTACATTTGCTTCAGGGCATTTTTTTTGTTTTAATGAAACTTCAGTTAACTTTCAGATAATACTAAGACCAGTCAAATAAGGTTTTGGCTGATATGCACAAAGAAGACAAGATTGATAATACAGTCCATTTTTCTAATTATGAAAGCCAAAACCATAATGCCTATAAAACTGAAGTATTTTAATACGTTGTAACAGTAACACATGCATTGGAAAAGACAAGGTAATTGTTTCTTTTTAAGACAGTGTATGACACAGTATATGCAGTGAAATAACATGAAAAATAAACATACCTATTTATAATTTTACATACCTGTAAACCGCTCATATTTAAGACATCCTGATGTTTCAGAAGTAACTGGCTGTCCTAACAAAGATTGTAACTTTTCCTGAAAAGTCTGCATTGGTGATAAGCTTAATGGCAGGTGACACTCTCTGTTTTTCAGTCTGAAAGTATAAAAACCTCTTAATAACAAAGATAAACCCATAGATAATCTAATGAAGGTCTGTTAAATCAGTATCTAAGATAAAATAACTAATCTTAACATGTTAGATCCTACTTGAGTCTGGAATATGAACTTTTGATGCAAAGGGTATGCCTTGTTACAATGAACTTCAGCAAATAACATTAATAAAAAGATACAGCGTACTAAATTCCAAGCACAAATTTACCTTGAGAATTCATCAGAGTTCTGACAATACAGCTGGTAGGCAACTCCAATTGAAACAGAGAGTTTCCAGTCCCCAAGTCTGTGTGTTAACCACACAGCCTCTGGAATAAGTCCACCAATAAAGAACAAATCAAGAGCGTATTCAGCTGTCCACACAGATGAAAGTTTCTGTTCCCTGACAGCTCTGGTAACCAAACAGTGTTGCAGTGGAATAATACGAGGAGATATGTCTGTGACAAAAAAAAAACACATTTTAAAGATTAAATACATGCTATCAGATGAACTATCTAGAATTCATATGTTCACACTGTTTTTGGAGTCGCTGCAGCGCACAACTGCTCTTTATCAGAGGCACACACTAAAGGGTTTATCTGCAGCAGGGAGATGCAGCTCTGCTATGGTACAACAGTGAGGTCAAAGGAGGCTGCTTAATAATGTGGGATATGCAAACAGGTGCAAAACCTGTGGGTTATTCTTACTTTAAAGATCTAATCACACTGATGGGACATTTGCAAGTATGCTACCACATGCTCAGGATATTTCAGAGATTACACTTGAGATAAATGCCAATGGTGAGTTTTCCAAGTGCTGCTTACTGCAGAAGACAAAAAGTTACAGTGCATTTAAGTATCTCCTCGTTTCTTGAGGATTAGATTTGTTTTCTAAGGCTTTACTTTCTGGGTTTCCTGGAGAGGTGCTGACCAACATTAAGAAGTTACTTGGTGCTCTTACAGTTTCTGTTTACTGTCAATGCAATGACAATTATTTAGGGAAATATTCACACTAATTGAACTTATGCAACACAATTTTTCCAAGACTGTCTCACCATGTACATGTATCTTTGACAAATGCAAGTATTAAAATCAAGGTCACATTTTCTAGGTTTTATCTGGAAAACTGGCTGATTAAAACATCCAAAAGACCATGAAGACATATATACTAGCGCTGTAGTACAGAAATGTTAGAAATAGTTCATGTATTCAAATGCATGAATACTGCAGAAAATCTAATCAATCAAAATAAGTTAATATGGTAGAGAAATAGCTGGCATTATACCAGTAGAGTACTTACAATACTTCCAACTAACTCTTCATTTCTGTGGACATTAAATCACTTTGAAAATTAACTCTGAAACTAAAAATTTCCTAACAAGGGAAGTCTTTAAAACAGAATCTCTTGCAGAAAACAGATAAACTACCCACTGTGATGAATACTAATTCTCAAAAAAATGCTGAAAAACAGGACTTAAAAGCAACATGTAGTACTTGGGTTCAACAAGAAACTAAGCTGACATTCCCACTCGGTCTGATGATACGGTGTCTGAAGCATTTTGGCTTCCAAAAACCAGTTTCCTCTGGCTCTTCAGTTTGGGTCACACCACATCATGAATCCAATTCAACTATCCGTAAAGCACTGCTTTTCTCTCACTTTTGGGAGGATCAGAGTCACTCAGAGCCACAACTTCAGGCAAAAGTAGTGCATGAACCACAAATTCTAACGTTACTTAATTTAGGCAAAAAACCTAAATCATCCTTTTACCTGAATATCAAATCCAGATCACTAACCTCAAAGTGTTGGAAAAAGAAAAAAAAACAAAACAAAACAAAAAAACAACCAACCCATGAACTCCAGGAAAAAAAAACGTAAGTCTATATATTGAGAGGCAGTTCTGAAGGACAAAAGTCTCCAGGAAGATTGGATATTCTTAAAGATGCAGGGGCAGGCCATCACATATGCTGAAAGATGAGCCAACAGGGGAGAAAACCAGCCTGTCTGGACAGAGAGCTGTGGCTGGAACTCAGGAAAAAAAAAAAAAGTTGATGACCTTTGGAAGAAGGGGCAGCCAAGTCTGGAGGACTACACGGATGTAATGAGGTTATGCATGGGGAAAATCAGAAGGGCCAAAGCCCAACTAGAACTTACTCTGGTTACTGCTGTAAAAGACAATAAAAAATGTCTATATAAATAAGGAGCACAAAGGACAATCTCCATCCTTTCTTTGATGCAGTGGAGAACAGTGACAGTGATGTACTTGAAGCCTTCTTTGCCTCAGTCTTTAATAGTAAGACCAATTGTTCTCAGCATACCCAGACACCTGAGCTAGGAGACAGGGATGGGGACCAGAATTAAGGCCCCATGATCCAAAAGAAAAAGGCTAGTGAGCTGCTCCACCACTTCAGCACACAAAAGTCTCTGGAGCTGGATTGGATCTACAATGGATACTGACAGAGTTGGTGGAACGTTCACTGAGCCACTTTCCAACATGTATCTGCAGTCCTGGCTAACTGCGGAGGTCCCAGTTGATGGGTGGTTAACAAATGTGACACTCATCTACAAAGAAGGGATGGAAGGAGGATCCAGAGAATTGTAGGGTTGTTACTCTCACCTTGGTGCCAGGAAAGGTTACGGAGCATGTCCGGAGTGCTACCACATGGCATATACAAGACAAGCAGGTGATCTGGCCCAGGCAGCATGGCTTTTATAAAAGGCACATCCTGCTTGACTAACCGCATCACCTTCTATGACAAGGTGAACCACTTACTGGATGAGAGAAAGGCTCTGGATGTTGTGTACCCAGATCTCAGTAAAGCCTCTGACAGCGTTTCTCACAGCATTCTCCTGAAGAAATTGGCTGCTCATGGCTTGGATGGGTGTATGGTTCAGCGGGTAAACAAAACAGCTGGACAGCTAAGCCCAGAGAGTCGTGGTAAATGAAACTGGTGGCTGGTCACAACTGATGTTCCCCAGAGCTCAGTACTGGGGCCAGTTCTGTTTACTGTCATTAATCATCTGAACAAGGTTTAGTGGTGGACTTGTCAGTGCTAAGTTAACACTCGGACTTCATGTTCTTAAAAAGTTTTTTTCCAACCTAAATGATTTTATGATTGCATTGTATGGATGACATAATAGTTTGATGTGTGTAACTGAATTGACACCAAAAATATTTTCAATAATGAAGAGCTGCAAAACATTAATACCATACAGAGGCACACACACTCCTCACCCAAAATTTATAATGAATGGTGGTGAAATAAATCACGATGTTAAAACATAACAGACAGCACTGATATACAGGGGAAAAAAAAAAAAAAAAAAAAAGAGTTAAGCACAGCAAGTCAAACTGCTTTTAGAGAAAATACCTTGCTTGATGTGAAGTGGATGCAGGATGTCTACATTGTGTGGGGGAAAGATATAGAGCAGCTGATTTGTGAAATAAGCGGCCATGAATCGTGCCATGGACCGAATCACAGCCATAGCAGTTTCTGTATGAATGTCTGTTATCATCCATAGTTCATGCTGAAAATACCTGGTATCTAAAAAAAAAAAACAGACATCAAATTAAAACATTATGGAAATTATTTTAATTTTGAATGCTTCTTGACAAGCTTTCAGGACTTAGAGAGCTCATTACACATTATATTAATATTATAAAACTTTTATACTATGTTGTTAATGACGAGAGCTGGACTTCTAGTACCTAAATTTAGATCAGTGCTGAGTCAAAAATCTTTAAATTCGGAAATAAAGAGATCATGCTCTGACTCAGCAGAGAAAAAAATTATATACAAGCATCTGCAAAAGAAAACGAAACCAAACACACCAACCGTCAATTCAGGACTGGTGACCAATCTATCATGTTTTATCATAAGAAAAATGTTAGATCAATATAAAATGAAATCAGATAATTTAATCCTTATTTTTCTAATCCAAAGTCTTTCCTTGAGCAGATTTAAATCTAAGATCATCTAATGGGCCATGATTTCACTATTAGTTATACAGTTAAAAGTTGTCTAAACACTACAAGGGCAGCTGAAAGAACATCTGAGGATCAGAAAAAGATCTTTAAAGTCACTGAAAACAGACTTCAGTCCAGTATAAAGAGAAAAGCGTGCTGCCAAACATGGCTGTGATGGCACAGAGACTAGATACTAGATTATTCAAACAGTATCAACATACCTTATCACACCTTTATGCAATATAAACATACCAGAAAACTTTTCCATCTGACCCACTGTCAGCTGTGATCGCCTTAGAATCTCTCCTACCAGATGATCACAGAGTCCCTGAGCCTCACACAAGTTATACTGATACAGGTGGCAAAATAGTATTGCAAGATAATATCTACTCTGAAGAAAACATATTCGTTTTCCCCCTGCATTAAAACAGGAAAAAAAAAAAAATAACAAACACAAAGACAGACACAGCAGGTTTGAAAATACAAGTTCCTCCCTCTTCAGAAACAAATCTATGTAAATATATACTCTGAGAAGTAGCAATGAGCACCAGCTATTTTCAGAGATAGGATCCTTCTACAACCTCTAAGTTACTAGCGAGTTAATGCTCATCCACAAGTTTTACTTCTGGATATTTGGCAGTTTTCAAACAATACAGTGTATAATTATTCCAGGAGAGCTTGAGAGGCTAGTCTTCAAAGAAGGAATGCCTAAACAACAATGAAATTGCTTAGACATCCACCATGCTTCCAGTATCCTGAATTCTGCATGAGGTACTCCTCATTATACTAACCAGCAAAAAGCATTTCTCATGATGTATGGGAATACACTCTGGAATATCTGTTTCAAATGCCCTCCTAAATCAACTCCTGTTACAAATTATTTTGTTTCTCCCCGAACACTAAAGACCTATGTTTTTACAGCTCCTAAGGGAATTAATTTTTGTTATCTGCTTTTTTTACCAGGGAACAATCAGACCTATGTTTTGCCTTGTCTCTATTTAAATCCCAGCTTAATTTCATACATGCATCATTTATGTCTTGCCCCCTTTTTTTGAAGGGCAAAGACCCATAAATAACTATATAAAGTGATTCTACAACTTAACGCCTCCAGGCCCAAAAAAGAATGTATCCCTTACCTTTACCCTTGATTTCACAAAGAGATCTTTTCCAAATGTCCAGAGATTCTTTGTATGAGCCTAAAAGGAACTTCTCCTCACCTACAAAGTCACACATATTACAAATTAGAAGTGCTTCACAGTTAGTTTTACATGTGCAAACACACATGCATTTACCTCAGTATTACAGATTTATGAAAAGCACAATGAAATATGTGAGTCTCCAGCAAATTTCTGTTCTCAGAGCTAAATCTGTGTTGAACATCTGAATGAAGCTGACTTTCAATACCCCTCCCCTGCCTTTTATTTAATTGCTAAATCACTGTGGGGAAAAAAAAAAAAAAAGTTATAATCACTCCTACAAGGCTTTCAGTAATTAAGTTTGTTTGTTTGTTTAGATTAAACAAGGTTATAAACATTAACTATACTTACAAACTTCAGCATTCAACACCTGCAATAGTTTATAATGGTTTATATGGAAAAGCATTTCATCTTATGCTTTCATTTTTCCTATGATAAGGAAGATATTTTTTCATTATAAAAAGTAGTTATAAAATTATTTAGCAAGTTGAATACATATATTCTTTTTCAGTGTAAAAGCACTTTCAAACAACAGGTCTGAGGACTGTTAACATTTAGAGAAATGAAATGTGTATCTCTCCGCCTCTGCTTATTCTGATTTTTAATAAATTGGTCAATTCCTAAATACTTTGACAGAAAGGTAACTGTAAAAGAGTAGAGTTCCTAGGCAAAGGAGAAGAAGGGGAAAAAAAAAAAATACCGAACCCGACAACCAAACCAAACCAGATAGTACTACTGCAGAAGAAAAGCCAAGGACAAATTTCTCACTCTATCCTGCTTATCAGTAGCTAGCCAGTGCAGGTATTGGCTGGCCCATCAGCATATGTGTTACTCTAGCTCATCCATAAACCATACTGTACCTATTTGGCAAACTGAATGTAAACAAAGAACATAACGAATGGGTAGAAAGCTCCATGTATTGTTAGGATGAATGAAAGAGACATAAATCAGCTAATGTATGGAGTGATGTAGAAAGAGAAGATAAAAGTAACTTTTAATAGAGAGAGAGATACCAAGAATATGGAGAGGAAACAATTTCTGTGGGAGACATAAATAGGAAGCGAGGCTTATTAGTGTCGAAGGGGAAAGCAAGACAGAGCATAGGACAAGTGTAGGAAATTAGGCTACAACCATGCACCATTTGCAAAATAAAGACACTGGATTAAGTCTAGTACATTGTTATGCTAAATTTGATGCTTAGTTGAGACTGACTACATTTACATCCATGACATGCTCATGCCAGTGGTGATCACACGACGTGAACAGGACTTCTGCACAGAAATTCAGTAAGAGACACACTGTATTGCCCATCTACTTCAGAGGAAGTAACACAGTGCAAGAGATCAGAATTCATATCCTGCATTCAGATTCTCTAGGACATGATTCATAGAATCATGGAATAGTTAGGGTTGGAAAGGACCTTAAGATCATCAAGTTCCAAACCCCCTGCCATGGGTAGAGACACCTCACACTAAACCATCTCAACCCAAGGCTTTGTCCAACCTGGTCTTGAACACTGCCAGGGATGGAGCATTCACAACCTCCCTGGGCAACCCATTCCAGTGCCTCACCATCCTAACGGGAAAGAATTTCCTCCTTATACCCAATCTAAACTTCCCCTGCTCAAGTTTTAACCCGTTACCCCTTGTCCTATCACTACAGTCCCCTAATGAAGAGTCCCTCTTCAGCATCCCTACAGGCCCCCTTCAGATACTGGAAGGCTGCTATGAGGTCTCCACGCAGCCTTCTCTTCTCCAGGCTGAACAGCCCCAACTTTCTCAGCCTATCTTCATACAGGAAGTGCTCCAGTCCCCTGATCATCCTTGTGGCCCTTCTCTGGACTTGTTCCAACAGTCAATTCAAAGCAAACTAAAGTCACTAGTCTTCTTATTCAGCTCAAGATTATAATACAATCCACAGATGTACTAGAACATGAAGTACAGAGAGTTTCAATCAGAATTTTAAGAAAAGTTCCACTTGTAATATTTCTTAAATCTGGTGGTTATTGATTGTCCTTAAGTTTGACCTAATTTTCCTATTACTCAGTTACCCATGCAACTACCTAATAGCTGTAGTTCTTTCCAAAGTACTAACCAGCTACAGAATTAATCTTCAGATGTTGTTCTAAGGTCACTCCTGAAGACTGGAGGGTGGCTTCTATATGACATAAAAGCGATGAGGCAACAGATTCTTCTTCCACATTCCTGTTTACTTTTCTCTTCAGCTGCACCTGATACCAAACCACTTTCTTATACAATAATCGCCATAGAACTATCAACCTGTAGTTAAGAAAATCATCAAAAATTAACAGTTACTTACACATTTTTTTTCTTATGTTCTGCATTACGTATCTCAAAACTAGATTTTATTTTATGCTAGCAACAACTTTCTTGATTTCAATGAGGGGGAAAAATACACTTTCTGCCTCAGTTTTTGTATTTTGACCAACAAACATTGATTCTCCTGAACTTGCATAAAAAAAGCAACCTATGTCAAGCACTGAAACACACCCAAAAATACCCCTTTGCTATCTAAAATGTGGGGAAATGAAATAACCTAGATAAACTTCAAAACACATATCAGTGTCTTTACAAACAAGACTGATTAAAAATACAATGAAAGCGTAACACAGAAAAGCAAAGACAGGGAAACAAAAAACTGCAGAGCATGTTTTTAGGGCTCACAAGTCCCTGATGCCCAGCACAATGCTATTAGATATACCAGCTCAGATACATAATAAGCTTACCAATACAAGGAAATATACATTGCCAGGGACTTGAAAAAGCTCACACAAAACTGCAACACATCTGCAGCCTCTTCTCTATCTCTAGCATTACTGCTTTCATTATTTATACACACATACTCAATCAAATTCACAGTGCTCAGAACCTGAAGCACAAGTTAATCTAAAGTGTGGATTATCTTCTCAGAGGACACTGAAATTTGCCTATCAAATTCACAGTGAGCACAGTATTTTAAGCTTATCAAAGAAATAAACGTTACTGCAGTAAGATTAAATTTGTGAGTTTCTTCTCACAAAGTTTCATGAGTTTCTTCTCACAAATTTAGGTTCTCAAGGTTCTCAATCTTCTTAGATTCTCAATCTCTGGGAAGGAACAGCTTGCTCCTATGTTAACACACTTGGATTAATCTGAGTTCTGCAGCAGAAAAACACACCAGTGATACTAATGGATTTTCTAAATAGTTGGATAGCACACTTCAGTTTAAGCTTCTTTCAATTTTATGTATCTGCAAAGAACAAATATCTCCACTGATTTAATAAAGTTTCCACACAGTGGGGTTTTTCTTTTTGCTCCAGGACTCCACATCCATAATCAAGTGCAAACTTTGCTGACTAAACTGACATTGCAGATATATTGCATATGAGCAGCCGCTCGGGTCCACCAAACTTCTACATGGGAAAGAGCAGGATTAGCAAGAGGCAGTAAAAGCTTTTGAAACTTAATACCGGGATTGATGCTGCACTACCACACCAGGTGTGAGCTGTTAATCCACCAATTATCTCTGAACTGATTGGCAGTAATTAGTTAAATCAACAACTATATTCAACCATAGATCTAAAACCTAATCTGCATGCTTCAGTAGATTACCACACTTTTTCTATAGAATATGACACAGAAAAGAAACAAAAGGACGTTGTAATTACCATATTATTGAAAAATAAAAATGTTGTTCTAACATAAAGAATCATAGAATCATTTAGGCTGGAAAGAACCTTCAATATCATTGAGTCCAACCATTAACAAAACACTGCCAAGTGCATCACTAAACCATGTCCCTAAGTAGCACATCTACATGTCTTTAAATACCTCCAGGGATGGTGACTCTACCACTTCCCTGGGAAGCATGTTTCAGTGCTTGACAACCCTTCCCATGGAGAAATGTTTCATAATACCGAATCAAAACCTTCCCTGGTGGAGGTTGTGGCCCTTACGTCTTGTCCTATCACTTGTCACTTGGAGAAAACACCAACCCCCACGTCACTGAATCTCCTTTCAGGTAGCTGGAAAGAGCAATAAGGTCCCCCAAGCCTCTTTTTCTCCACATAAAACAAGCCCAATTCCCTCAGCCATTCCTCATCATAATTGTGCTCCAGACCCTTCACCAGCTTTGTTGCCCTCCTCTGGACCAGCAACAGCATCTCAATGTCTCTCTTGTAGTGAGGGGCCCAGAACTGAACACAGGATTCAAGGTGCAGCCTCACCAGTGCCCAGTGCAGGGGACGATCACTACCCTGGCCCTGCGGCCACACTTGCTGATATAGACCAAGATAACAGTGGCCTTCTTGTCTGCCTGGGCACAATTGAGCTCTGTCAATCAGCACCCCCAAGTCCTTTTCTGCTGAGCAGCTTTCCACTCACTCTTCCCCAAGGCTGTAGCACTGCATGGCATCGTTGTGGCCCAATTGCAGGACCTGGCACTGATCTTTGTTGAGCCTCATACAATTGACCTTGGCCCATTGATGCAATCAGTCCAGCTCAGCCCCTAGAGCCTTCCTACTCTGCAGCATGTCAACACTCTCACCGAACATGGTGTGTAGCCCACAGACTTACTGAGGGGGTGCACTCAATCTCCTTGTCCAGATCATTGATAAAAGTAATATGCAGAACTGGCCCCAGTCCTGAGTCCAGAGGGACACTAAGTGGCCCACCTTGTCATAGAAAGTGATGAGGTTAGTCAAGCAGGATGTGCCTTTTATAAAGCCATGCTGCCTGGGCCGGACCACCTGCTTGTCCTGTGCGTTTTTTTTCCCCACATAAAGATCATTCATACCTTTTTTCTGTTTTTGCATCATGGTTTACTGCTCGAGGAGGCTCTCTAAGCAGAGATTTCAGTGAGCTGAATTGCTGAGTAGTACTCTCATCAAGAACTAGGAAAACAGGCACAGTGAGGGAGTCAAGATCTGTCAGACTATTACCATGAGGAGATGAAAAAAAATTCTCATACTGTAGTATGCACACATTACTTAAAGTGTGAGAAACCATTTTCAAAAGCCAGAAACATGCCAGAAGGTTTTTTGAGAACAACTGATCTTGTTGCTGTATAAGCATCAGTTTTAAAGTTTGTAGTGTCAGCTTTGCCACATGCCCAGTTGGACTGGCTCTTGAATGCCAGCATAAGATTGTTAAAAACTGCTGAAAATATTTTAGGACACAATGTATCCAGTGAGTATTCTCTGCAGACTTGTTTAAAGATGCATCCTGGTTTAGCAGAGAGCATTTGACAAACTGAAGAATGTTGAAAAAATGGGTAATGCAATTCACTATGTAGTTCAGCATCTTATCTTTCTCTTCCACATTTTTTGAAATCCCTATCTGCCATGCAGCAAGAAGGTTTTTCTGAATGGAATATAGTTCCACTGATAACTTATCTTTCTCTTCAGTATTGTCTTTTGCATGGATAGTATCAAACACTGATGCAAATTCTAAGTGGCCTTGATCAGCTTTACTAACAAATGAATGGATTCTTTGGCTATAGAAGCTGGACAGGCTATTGCAAAACTGCTTTTCATCATCCGATTCTTCTTCATAACCCTAGATCAGAAAAAAAAACAAAAACAAAAAAACAAACAACAGTTTAATTAAGTCTATTGAGCGAGAGCATAGTCCGTGAGCATCATCACTAGTCAGTCCCACAAATATAATTTTTATTCTCAATTAATATGCTTAATTGCTAGTAAGTTTCATTCACAGCAGTTTCATCTAGATCTAGAACTAAATGTGGCTATTTGGAATAGCTGTGCAGAAAGAAATTAAATTACCTAACAGCAACAACAAAATCACAAACACAGCAGTAGTTTTTATACCAGGAAGTGAAACCCTGCCTTTCATAAAGCACAGACCACGAGGAAGAGTTTTTGCTAGATACTGATAAGATCTGAAATCCATTCAACGAAACCTCAGAAATGTCAACAAACAAGTCAAAACCTGAAAGCAAGAAAAGCACTGGGAAAGGCTGCACAATGACTTTGATCACAAAAGCCAGAAAGGGGAAAGCTGGGGCTGTTCAGCCAGGCAAAGAGAAGGCTGTGTAGAGACTTCATAGCAGCCTTCCAGTATCTGAAGGGGGCCTACAAGGATGCTGGAGAGACACTCTTCATCAGGGACTATCGTGACAGGACAAGGGGGAATGGGTTTAAACTTAAACAGGGGAGATTTAGGTTGGATATAAGGAAGAAGTTCTTTACTGTGAGGGTGGTGAGGCACTGGAGCAGGTTGTCCAAGGAAGTCAAGAATGCTTCATCCCTGGTGGTGTTCAAGGCCAGGTCGGACAGAGCCTTGAGTGACATGATCTAGTATGAGGTGCCCCTGCCCATGGCAGGGGGTGGGAACTAGATAATCTTAAGGTCCTTTCCAACCCAAATCATCCTATGGTTCTATGAAATTTTGGAACTAATGGAAGAATCCTCTAAACATTGAGGATTAATATTTTATTTACTAAGGATAGTAATATTGTAGTTATCATTATACTTTAGAGCCTGAGTATACTTAGTGCTGTAATGTTACATTTTATTATAAAGTGAAGTTAAACTATGAAACAATAAACTCATGTGCAAGTAGATCAGTACACATTTTTCAAAAAGTTAACTCACTGCTACAAGAAATGATGTTTGAAAAGGAAAAAATCAAGTTTCAGTTGAGAAAAATAACCATATCTCTTTAAAAAGATTAGAATTTTAACCAATACTGAATTAGCTCAAATACAGCTAGTAAGAGAAAATATATTTGGAAAAAAAAAACAAACAACCGTTTACATTTTGAATAATTTAAAATCAAATCATATCATCTGCATAGCTTTAAGTGGAAAAATGCTATTAAGTACCAGTAAATCCATGGTTTTCTCTCTAACTTCTGCTGTGTCCTCTTCAAGGAATTTTGGAATGGTGGAAAAGATGGAACTCCGGTTTTGAGCATGTTTCAAAAGACTAGCTTTTAACGACAACAATGACTGTAAACACAGCAGTCTCCCTTTAGACTAAAAGAAACAACATCACAAAACATATTACGTGTCTCTAGCAAGATCAAACCAGATACTTCCTACACAATACAAAGAAATTGGTTTCTTCTGTAAAAAGCTTCAGTTTAAAAGTCCCAGGCAGAAAGAGAGAACAGATCAGCAGGCGTATGTTGCACAGAAACAATGTTTTGACTATGCTTCAGGAAGGCAGAATTTTCTCAACACCAGACAACTCTACTCTCCTTCATGCTTTCCTGATCACTGAAATGATCTTACAATTTTATCAGTATGTAAGACTTTATTGCCTTCTTACTAGTAACATGTCTTTTTAAGTTGTCAAACCTTTGCCTGCTCTTCTAGCTTATACATGAATACCATCATAACTCCCTTCTCCAAAGATCAGAAATACAAACTGAATAGGAAGAGAAGTTGTATTCCATCAGCAAATGAAAAAAATCTGAATTTAGTATCTATTAGATCTTATGTGGTTGCCAACAGCTGTGGGACCTCTTTTTCCAAAGGCTTCCTGTCTCTCAAACATAGGTCAACTTGAAGAGACAGAAAAATAAAAACCAAATGCTTTAAGCAAGCTTTAATTGACAACCTCAGCTGAGGACGTAGTAGACATGCACAGAGCACCATTGGGACTGTTACTGATCACACTAAAACAGCAGCAGCCTAAGATAAGTTTTATAGAATCCTTTCTGAATCATTCTGAAAGGGTAAGTTAGTCAGAGTAGCATAATACCTTTCAGTGATCTGAACAAACTCTATAGATAGAGAAAAACCACTTTCTTTTACAGTTACACAAAGAACATTTAGTGACAGGTAACACTGACCGCTTTACTACATTTAACTTAAACATCATACAAACAAAGGAATAAAATTTCAGGAAAAAGACGTGTATTCATTGTTTTCCAGATCAACACTAATCTCAAAACAACTTTATAATTAAAAAAAATTCATAAAAATATCAAAGTACCTACAAGTATCAAAGTATTATGCAGAACATAAAGAAGGACTCTAGAAAACACAAAGAAGGACTACAGAGCCCTGGGAGAGGTGGTTAGGGGCCCTGGAGTTCAGATAGTCTTTTTGTCAATTCTCCAGGATACAGGGGAGAACCCTAAAAAACGCTAGGAAGATTGGCCAGGTTAACAAATGGTTAGAATGGTAGTGTCATAGTCAGGGGTTTGGGTGTCTTGAATACGGGAATCGAGTTTGTAGGCCAGGTCTAGTAGGGGCTGGTGGAGCTGCTCGATAAGGGGAAGAGCGGTTTTCGTAGAAGGCTTGCCAGACTGGTCAAGGAAGCTTTAAACTAGATGCGCTGTGGGAGGGGGGTATCATTCCATCCCAACACACCCAGTCAGTTGCCAGCACCAGTAATAAATGCTTGGAGCAATGTAGAGATATTCCAGCCGCTCCAGCCAATGAGCCGGCTTCATCTGGAGCTCAGCTCAGATGCCTCTATACAAATGCTTGTAGCAAAGGGAACAAATAAGAGGAATTAGAGATGTGTGCACGGCTACGAGGGTATGATATAACAGGCATCACAGAAACATGGTGGGATGGCTCCTGTGACTGCAGTGCTGGAATGGAAGGCTACAGGCGCTTTAGAAAAGACAGGACGGGCAGGCGGGGAGGGAGATTTGCTATTTATGTTAGGGATAGGCTGAAGAGTATGGAACTCTGTCTGGGGACAGGTGAGAAGTCAAGAGAGTTTGTACATCAGGGTTAAAGGGAGAACAGCTATGGGGGACATTACTATGGGGATCTGTTACAGACCACCTGATCAAGAAGACTCTCTGGATGAAGCACTCTATAGACAGATAGGAGCAGCCTCACACTTGCAGGCCCTTGTTCTCATGGATGAACTCAACCACCCCGACATCTGTTGGAGGGACAGTACAGCCCAGCACAAGCAACCCAGGAGGTTCCTCGATTGTGTGGAAGACAGCTTCCTTCTGCAAGTAACAGAGGAGCCGACAAGGAGAGGTGCCATGCTTGACATTCTGCTCACCAACAGGGAAGGGCTGGTTGGAAATGTGACACTCCAGGGCAGCCTTGGTTGTAGCAATCATGAGATGGTCGAATTCGAGATCCCCAGGACAGTGAGAAGAGTGTGCAGCAATCTCAATGCCCTGGACTTCGAGAGAGCAGACTTTGGCTTCTTCAGGAACCTGCTTAGTAAGGTTCCATGGGATATAGCCCTAGAGGGCAGAGGGGCCCAAGACTGCTGGTTAGTATTCAAGGATCAGGTACTGCAAGCTCAGGAGTGTCGCATCCCAACTAGAAGGAAGTGCAGCAGGAGGGCCAGGAGACCTCCTTGGATGGATAAGGAGCTGCTGAGGAAACTCTGAAGGAAAAAAGAGGCTTATAAAAGGTGGAAGCAAGGACAGGTGGCCTGGGAAGAATACAGAGATATTGTCCAGGAAGCTAGGGACCAGGTTAGGAAAGCTAAGGCCCAATTAGAATTAAACTTGGCTAGGGATGTGAAAGATAACAGGAAGGGATTCTATAGGTACGTAGCAAATAAAAGACAGACTACGGACAACATGGGCCCGCTCCAGCAGCTATCGGGAGAAGTGGCTACCCTGGATTTGAAGAAGGCTGACAATCTGAACGACTTTTTTGACTTGGTCTTCACTGGCAAATGCTCTGACTGCACCACCCAAATCTTGGAAGGCAGATGCAGGAACTGTGAGAATGATGAACCTGGGCCCACTGTAGGAGAGGATCTGGTTCGAGGCCATCTTAAGAACCTGAACATGCATAAGTACAGCGGACCTGATGAAATCCATCAAGGGCCCTGAAGCAGCTTGCAAATGAACTTGTTAAGCCACTGTCCATCATATTTGAAAATCATGGCACTCAGGTGAAGTGTCTGATGACTAGAAAAATGGAAATATAACCCCCATTTTTAAGAAGGGGAAAATGGATGAGCCGGGGAATTACAGACCAGTCAGTCTCACCTCTGTGCCTGGCAAAATCTTGGAGCAGGTTCTCCTGGAAGGCATGCTAAGGCACATGAAATACAACAAGGTGGTTGGTTACAGCCAGCATGGCTTCACTAAGGGGAAATCCTGCCTGACCAATTTGGTGGCCTTCTATGATGGGGCTACGGAACTGATGGACAGGGGTAGAGCAGTTGACATCATCTGGCTGGAATTGTGTAAAATGTTCAAAACTGTCCCACATGACATCCTTGCCTCTAAACTGGAGAGACATCAATTTGATAGGTGGACCACTCGGTGGATAAAGAACTAGCTGGACGGCCTCACGCAAAGAGTTGTAGTCAATGGCTCAATGTCCAGTAACGAGTGGTGTCCCTCAGGGATCGGGGTTGGGACCGGTCTTGTTCAACATCTTTGTCGCTGACATGGACAGTGGGATTGAGTGCACCCTCAGCAAGTTTGCTGATGACACCAAGCTGTGTGGTTCAGTTGATATGCTGGAGGGAAGGAATGCCATCCAGAGGGACCTCGACACTCTTGTAAGGTGGGCAGATGCCAACCTTATGAAGTTTAACCATGCCAAGTGCAAGGTCCTACAGCTGGGTTGGAGCAATCCCAGGCACAGCTACAGGATGGGCAGAGAAGAGATCCAGAGCAGCCCTGCAGGGAAGAACCTGGTCAATGAGAAAATGAACATGAGCCGGCAGTGTGCGCTACCAGCCCAGAAACCCAAGCGTATCCTGGGCTGCCTCAAAAGGAGCGTGACCAGCAAGTCAAAGGAGGTGATCCTGACACTCTACTCTGCTCTCGTGAGACCTCACCTGGAGTATTGTGTGCAGTTCTGGTGTCCTCAACATAAAAAGGGCATGGAACTGTTGGAACAAGTCCAGAGGAGGGTCAGGAGGATGATCAGGGGACTGGAGCACCTCCCGTATGAAGACAGGCTGAGAAAATTGGGGCTGTTCAGCCAGGCAAAGAGAAGGCTGCGTGGAGACCTCATAGCAGCCTTCCAGTATCTGAAGGGTATAGGGATGCTGGGGATGGACTATTCATTAGGGAGTGTAGTGACAGGACAAAGGGCAATGGGTTAAAACTTAAACAGGGGAAGTTTAGATTCGATATAAGGAAGAAATTCTTTACTGTTAGGGTGGTGAGGCACTGGAATGGGTTGGCCAGGGAGGCTGTGAATGCTCCATCCCTGGCGGTGTTCAAGGCCAGGTTGGACAGAGCCTTGGGTGGCATGGTTTAGTGTGAGGTGTCCCTACCCATGGCAGGGGGGTTGGAACTAGATGATCTTAAGGTCCTTTCCAACCCTAACTATTCTATGATTCTATGATTCTAAAGTAAACTAAATTGAGGTCCTCAATTTAAAAAAATCCACATTTTTGTACACTGTTGTTTTTTTTGCATAAAACCTTCAAAATAATTCATAAACCTACCTTGGAGTTCAGCAAATTCGAGCGGATACTTTCAACCCGTTGGGTTGAATCAAGCAAAAGAGTTCTTATGAATCCTGATGGTGAAAGGTTATTAGGAAATCTAACCACTGTTATCATGTATCCATCGGAGACAATGAGGTAGGGTAATCTTGAATGTGACGCAACCGAAAATCTCTGTCTGATAAGGTCACTTTCAGAAGCTGAAGAACCAACAGACTGGCTAGAATCTTGACAAAAAGAGTGCTGCTGTCTAAAATAAAGATACATCAACATTTAAGCAACTATCACATGTAATAATCATCAACAGATTAGAGAAAAAAATAACATATGAAAGTTTAATACCACTGACATTACTGTCCTTATAGGTCCATTCAGAATTTTAAAGAAGCTTCTACGTTTTTTAGGATGAGCACTGCAAATAACACTATTTCTGCTTGCAAGATACTGGTATTTTGCCGAGTTGCAGTTTTTTTAATTTAAACAAGAAGTGGCTCTTACTATCCTCTTCTTCATTAACAAGTATTATACATATTTTTCACAATTTGACTTCAAATTTCTGTATCATACTCTCTTACCTAGCTTTTAGTGTCTATGACTAAAGTGCTTGAAGATGGAATTTTAATCAGATGCTAAAAGTCATGCATGAAAAAGAAAAAAACCCTATCAAGTTCTGAATCTCAGTATTTCAGAATCACTTGACATTCCACAGAAAAATTTTGTATCAACACTCAAGTCTTCTCTCACAAAAGAGGGCTTACAAAGTCTATCCTTACAAAGAAATCACTCCTTACTGAGATCCAGAAATCTGTGTTGTGCATGTAGCCCCATAATACTCTGACATAATGTTGCTGAGTTTGGTTTTTTTAATTATTTCTTTATATTCCAAAAGTTAGTAGATAAGGTGAAAAAAGTAGCTACGTACATTCAATAAATAATTGTAATTGAGGTATTTTAGTATCTGATTTTTCAACCAGTGTAAGAAGGTATTAGGCTGCTTTGAATGTTTTCATCAGATGTTAACATTTATGCACTATCCAGCTTTAGTTATTCAGAACTAATAGGACAAGAAAAAATTAAAGTTTGATTTTTATTTTGTTTCCTCTAATTATTCAAACTATTTTACTTTTTGTAACTTTGAGTTGATGCTAGACAGTGTTAGAGATCCTTCTATTTCCCCATACACCCAGTAGCATAATTTCTAAAATTAGATCAGGAGTACCCCCACAAAAAAACAATAAAAAAGCTAACTAGCTTTTGTCATACAAATCTGTTATTTATAAGACATATGACTATGATAGAAACTTCTGTAAGTAAAATCTAATATTGAGCAGAGAAATGCCACTGGATTAAAATAAATCTGCACTTTCAGTAATTTTGTAAGTTCTATTTCTTCTTGTATCATAAAATCATGCCATTTTTAGTTACTACTAAATCCAAATACTTCTAAAAATCAAATCACTTCATGTATACTTAGTGTCATTATGCCAATTTTCATCAAAACAAACCCATTACAAGAAATAGAAAGAACTATGAATGAGAACAGATATTGAGAAGGCACATAAAAAGCAGGAGTGAATCTGAGATAGGAGGTTTATGTGAAATTGTAAAAAATGAGTAAGATATGATCATATGACAAAAATGTATAAACATTTTCAAATCCTTTTACCTGTATGTTATTAGAGGATGAAATGGAATAAACTCTGCTGGTCCAAACTCTAAAGAGCAGCCAGAAGTAATCAAGGTCAGCAATTCACCCATGCATGTCAATAAAATCAAAGATCCACGTTTTAACATGCAAGCCAAGAAAAGGCTATCAGGAGTCCAACTCATATCACCAACCCAGTAAGATCTAAATTGGGCAAGAAAAAAAATACTTTTCTCTGTCAAATTTCCGTATCAAAATGTTAAGTTAAAAACAAAAATAATTAAAAAAAAAAAATCCACAACAGCAGCAAAAACATCAGTTACTGACCTGATGAACTTGGATGGAACCGTGCTATTCTTGCTACTACAGCCTTTAAGGCTACCCGAAACAGTTACAAAATTCAACGTGTTTAAAAACAAAATCTGAGTTGCCTAGAAAGAAAGAGTAAATGTAAAAAAAATATACATTTGTATCAAACTGTCACTGTTGTAAAAATCAATTTCTACTAGCAGTACATTTGATGTACTGGAAACATTATTATATATGAAAATGACATGACACTTTGATATTTTTCTGACTGATATTGAGTACTGACTAATTTCTGTACCTATTTCTACATTTAATGTATACTCTATATAAATCAATTGCTTTTTTAACACAGCTTTTTCTAAAACCCTCAAAAAAATGCAAGATCACTCTTTTCCAGTTTTGCCGATAAATAAAACCTGGAGCTTTGAAGGACTGCATCATCCCATCCTAGTACACTAAATAAGCTGGCCTGTATTCCGCCCCTGTCATGATTAGCACTAAAAACAACATTAAGATTTGGCCTCCAAGATGTTGGAAGGAATAACAATATGAAGTGGGAATACAACTTCCAAGACATGTTAATCATGCCTCAGCCTAAGAATCATCTCAAACCTTTGCAGATAACATGCAATATCTGAAGCTAATCCATTACTGTATTTCCTGGAGATTGGAAATGTCAGAGGGTCTTATATGGGTTTCTTAACTGAACAACAGCGTTTAAAATATTGCAGATTGTAGCAGAATATTTTAGCTATGGATCATCAATTTGAATATAATCACATGTATGAATAGGAATGCTGAAAAATCATTCCTACAAATGTGTTATTAAATCTCTGTTACCGTTTCATTTAAACTGAACTAGTGACTTCTGTCTATCACTCATATACCTTTGGATCGGTTTGATTAACAGCTACTGCAAGTAGAAGTCCATCTCTTGCAAATGCACACAGCAAAGCTCCTCTTGACTTTATAGACACACACTGAGGAACCAAATTAAGAAGCGAACAAGTCTGTTGTACCCAGTGGACCTGGTATGGCAAAGAACTGAGTACGAAAACAAAGACAAGAAAAAAATGTTACTCAGTTATGCTTAATGAGATGATATGTAGAAAAAAAAACAAGCATATTTTTCTTCAAAAGCCTTACAAATGAAAAATATATTTACACAAGTTTAAAAATTATGTCTGAGCACTGAGAATTATTTTTATGGGATGGGAATTTGAGCTATATGTATAGAACATGCAAATAAATATAGATGTATGCCATATAATTAAGGTGCTTGCATTCTAGCCAATAGCTTCCTCGGACAGTATAATGTCCTCCAACAGAGGATTTCTGAATTCAAAAATGAAAATCAACAGTATGCTGCAATGAACAAAGAAGCTGTGGACACCTCATTGTTAAGGAGTAGAAAGCGAGGCTGTATTTGGCTTCCACTAAACTGATCTAGGGGAAGTTGTTCTTGCTCATGGCGGGGGGGGGGGAACTAGATGATCGTTAGAGGTCCCTTCCAACCCAAACCACCCCAAGAACCTAGAAAGATTCTTAACATGGTAGAAAACACAAGAAAGATTCCATTTGGAAGCATGCCAACCAACACAAAAAAATGAAGCAGTACCATGAAAAAGGATATTAAACAATAGTAAACAAAAACGAGCCATAGTTGCCACAAAGAAGTCATGAGTAACACAGCTAATTTCAGGCTGCAAGTATTATAGTGTATATATATGCACTTCTGCAGTAGGAATGTTATGCTATATTTCATTTTTTGTATTAATAGAAAGGCATTAGCATCCTACTGACAAACTGAGTGCAGAGTAATGCAGCTTAAGAGGACAAGAAGGACATCAGTATCAAGAGTATCATTAACAAAAGCAGTTGTACCACATCAAGTGGAGGGCAAATTTCTAACAAGTTACTCAAGTTATACTTGCAAAGAACGTATCTATTTCACTTCATATATAATCGTATCTCACTTAAGAAAGAAGAATGGACTATACACAGAATGGACTCAGGATTACTGTTCAACTGCATTTTTAAGAAGTTATATCAGTTCAACTATTTCAGTATATGGCCATGGCCCAGATAAAGAAAAAGAGACACACACTCTTGTCTAGGCACACATGACAAAAAGGGGAACAGGAAACAAAATCCCAACTCGAAAGCACTTCATAACAAAAATCTTGCTCAAGCTAATTAACTTCAAATATCTGTGAACTTACCTAACATATTTAAAGCTATTTTCATGCCATCGAATAATTGAAAATGTGAGTACCAGGTGTTCTCCAGAGTAGAACACAAATGAGCACAAGCAGCAATCACCCAGAACCTGTGGAGAAAAAAAAAAATAAATCCAAACAACAAAAAAACCCAATACAACCAAAAACCAGAACAAAACCAAAAACCTGGTAACACACAATTTTGTCTGTAATTGTTTACATATTTAGATAACTTGCCATTACAATTCAGATTAAATAACAATGTCATTCAAAAAAATAAAGGTTTTCAAGAATATTACTAGGCCAGATAAACTTTTGTCTGATGCAGTATAGCTGTTCTTATGTTTTCATTATATCCAATATGTTTTCATTATATCCAATATGAACTGAACTAATAAGCCTACATACAACACCAAAGAGGTGAAGAGGCAGATGTTGCGCTCAAATTCACTGTAGCTTCTGTGGTTCTAATTTAAAAAAAGAGACTGAGTGATCATTTTAGGGCTTATTTATTTTACCTCATTTTGTATGAAAGCAGCATGCACTCCAATTTCTTTTTCTTCAGCAGAAGGCAACATGACTGATTCATCAGGCAAAATCTGTGTCCAACGCCCAGGAGAAGAATTTTTACAAGAGGATGTATTTTCATGTTCTATGCTTTCCCATAAAAAAACACATGCTGTAGGAGTAGTTAATAGTGCTTTTCTGCCATCTCCGGACACATACAAGTACAATCTCATTAAACACTCTGGGGGAAAAAAAAAAGCAACACCACCACAACAAATAGAACAATGTGCCAGAATAGTTGCTGCTCCTCTGTTAGATTGAGATTTAAAATGAATCATAGATAAAGGAGATTTCTTCTCTATCACACAAAATCCAAGCTGCTGCCCTTAAGTGTCTTTCATTTTCAGCTTCGTCATTGACAACAGACCTTGGACAGCAGGGATGTCAGACAGGACACACACTTTTATGCATTTTATTAATTATCTTCCCCACAAGACTCAACCAATAGAGTTGTTTCTAAAGATCATTTTTCTTGAAATCTATCTTTCATGAAAATGCTCAAATGCTCTACTATCTATTATTTTCAGTACCTAAATGCACTACTGATCATCCCAGAAATGACATAGTTGCTTATACAGTACTTCACTTTTCAATCTGGTATCAGTGAGATTATTTTATACTTAGTATGCAAATACGTGCCTTTATATTATTCTCTTCAGTTAGCATTTGTTATAAAAATCTACCTACAGAATACATTTAAATTATGCATACAGGGTTTACATCTAATGTATGTTTGTTCTCAGCTATTCAAAGCCTAGCAAGGACTGTTTCTGTACAGTTAAAAACTAACCATTAAAAAATAAAATACTCAGTGGTTTTAAAAATTAATTACTACTTACAGGAGATAACTAAACACAGAAAACTGTACCATTCAAGTAATATTTCGGACATTTGTCAAAGCTTAGCCAGCATACAAATTATATAAATGCAAACCAATGGGAAAATACAGCTTTTACTTGTACACTAACACTTAACAATAAGAAAACCACTGCTGCTCTATTCTAATTGTCAAAAGACCATCTGGAAAAAAAAACTACCTTGTGCTGATGCAACTACTTTCCTAGACTCTTCAACTGCTGGCACAATTTTCAAGCAGTCCTGATCTTTATTCCAAAGAAACAGATCTCCTGTTGAAAGTATTCCTGCCAACCAAGCACCTGCGTTCATCAGAAAAGAGATGTTTTCAAGGATATTATTTCGAAGTCCTTAGAATTACTTCCCTTCCATCTTAGTCACAGTTCCAAAGCTCACATTTATCTGTCAGTTCTAAAGCTGACAGTTATCTGTCAGTTAACTGACTGATCCTTTAGATATACTTTCTAAACTCTTAAAACTACATGAGTTTTTAAAAGTAAGATATTGTACTTAACAATTTCTTGATGTTGTCAAAACAACTACATTTTTCAGCAATGACTGCAACTGAGGGATTTTCTTCGTCTTCCCCGATGCCAGGTTAATTTCATTTATACGTTTATCATCTAGAAGAAAAACAGCCTCTTTCTCCTGTTGAAAGAAAAAAATAAGAGCATTTCAGTTTCTAAAATAGTATTTTCTACCTAAGCCTAGAAAACAATGCAGCAATAAAAAATATTAGCGAAAAATAATTTAAAAAAGGGTAAGTAAAAACATGTTACAGCTGCAATTACCGTTATCAATTTCATTCTATGGTATATTTGCTTTACAGTACATCACACCTAGCATCATTCTACACTGGTAGGATGGTTCACAGGTTTCAAACTAACTAATTTTGCAATCATTCAAAGAATCTCAACTTAACTACCTGCCAAGAAATGACAACACAACAACAAATTAGACACTAGTTATCTCCTGTTGTAGAGTTTAATTTAAGGAAATTTTTGTCAGTGATTTCAACAGAAGAAGGAATTGATCTTAAGTGGTTAGCTACTGCAACGGAAATCATACTGCAGAAGAAAAAAAAAGATTATCAAAAAAGCTTAAGAAAGCACGTCCCTCAACAAGTGCAAGATAGTATGGAAAAAAATTTCTGTTCACAATTTCCAACAATGTACTGTAAAAATGGTTATGAAAAGCTAGAAGCATCAAAACAACAATACCATATAAGGAACAGCTCTTTTGGAAAACCAAACCAAATTAATCTCAATTGTTTATCTGAGAATTTTTTAATCTCCTGCCTCCAGTCAATAAGACAGAAGAATAAGCCTTTTATTTCAATAACTCCTACATTCAAACACTTCCTGAGGTTTGTTTTTGTTTTGTTGGGGTTTTTTTACGCACACTCACTCACCCCCACTACACAGAAGTGCAAACTGTTACATAATTAAAACACCACTCTTTGCATATTTTTATTTAAATAAAAAAAAAAGAGCTCATTACATTTACCTGTCCAATCCATGAGATGCGAGGCCATGGCTTTCTCTGCTTTATAGAGGTAGAGATGAGTACATCTAGCTTAAACTCCATTCTTATTTAACTTCTAGGTGGCCATTACAAAGAAAAATAGTGGCATTTTCACGTATCCATAGAAAATTTGAAGAAACAAAGGAAAAACAAATACAATAGGTTTTTATTATTTGATGGTTGGGAGTACAAGGTGAGAATCCAGACACAAACTCTTCAACTACAGCAGCTTCCTGCTAAACACAAACAGAACTGATACTTACCTGTATTTCCAAACTGAACTGTCTTACTTTCGTGGAGGCCATTTGCAGTTCAGATTACATTGCTCCAGAAGTGAGAGAAAGACGTCGTAAGACCAACAGCTTTACTGAAAGCTCTAATAAGAACGAGAAAGAAATCGAGAACACATAAAACCTCCTAACCGCGAGAGATCACGGCCGGAGCACGACATTGGCAGCGATCCTCGGGTACCGGAGGAGCGCGCCCGCTCAACGCAGCCTCGGGGCCGCCTCAGGCCGCGCGCCGACGGCGCGCCGGACACCCCCTAATGAAGGGGAAGAGCGGCGGCGGCCGCCAGGCAGCTGCCTCACCTCTGTGAGAGTCACTCGGGGTAGGTGGAGCAGCCCCCGAAGCGGAGCGCAGACCGCTTTGGGACCGAAGTGGTGGGGAAGACTTCACAATAACGCCACTGCCACTTCTGCCCGAGGAGGAGCGGATGCGGCCCCGCAGGCTGACTCCTGCTCGGACCGTACAGCCCACTACACCCAGCGCCGCGCAGGCCGCACTCACCTGCCGCCGCGCCGGCTGCCACCAACGGCCTCGAGCGGAGCGCGGGCGGAGGAGCTCGCAGCGCGCATGCGCGGAGTCTCGCAGCGAGGGCAACTTCCGTCAGCGGAGGCGCTGGTCCTCGCTGCGTTTGCGGGTCCGGTCCTCTGTCAGGGTCGGAGGCTCACGGGCGGGCATCGGGCTTAGGAGGTGGCGGGAGCTGAGTGACGCAGCTAAAGGTATCAGCGCTATCAGATACAGGAATTCAGGTGGTGTACAAGGAGGTGAGGTGAGCAGATGATCGCTGCCTTTCATTCCCTTGCAGAATGCCTTTGATTCCCTTAAAGTAGCTACTCTCTCAAACTGGTGCTTGTTCCCGAAACCACCTTGTACCAAACCTCTTTCCTTCCCTGCCTTAACCAGTCTTCATCGAGAATGAGTAACACTGGGGTAAAAGAAGAAAAAAAAAAAAAACAACAAAAGCAATTATCCAACTTGTTGATAACCATTTTAGTGAGATTCATATCCATGTTGTCAGTTACTTCCTTGTACTCATCACAAGTTTCACCTACTGCATTAATCCACCCATCCCTCTCCTCTCCTCCGATCTCAGACTTCCGTATTGCTCCAAACTGAAATCGGGAAACTGAACCCACCCTTTCTCCACCTGAGAGCAAAGCAAGTGCTGTGAAAACGTAAGGCAATGTCTACCGTGTAATTACCTGAAATTGGATGAAAAATATCAAAGATAACTTGTGATACTCTTTGGAAACCTTGTAATATTGCCAGAGGCATTCTTATTCTATTAACTGGAAAACAAAAAAAAAGCTGAAACTCATATTTGTGTCTTGAACCTGTTCCCAACTCTTCAGACATTTCTTCAGATCTAAAACTAGAAATCAGATTACAGAATATAGCTCAACACAACATTTGCTCCACTTACATGCAAACATTAAAATTTAGAAACAAATACATCAGGTAAGACTTGGGACATCACTTGTATGGGGTATGAACTGAACCGTAAGAACAAGACCTGGGTATATGTACATGGCATCCTTGGTGTGAAACACACCTAACAGCTGTCCTGGGTTCAGCAGTAGCAGTCATGTTTCTCCTTTGTGGTAGCTGGTGCAGTGCTGTGTTTTGACTTCCAGCCTGGGAACAGTGTTGGTGAAGCCGATGGTTTCGGTTGTTGCTAAGTGATGTTTACCCTGATGAAGGACTTTGTGAGGCTCATGCTCTGCCAGGGAGGAGGGGAAGCTGTGAGGAAGGAGAGATGGGGCGCCTGACCCAGGCTAGCCAGGGAGGTATTCCATACCACAGCACGTCATGCCCGGGGTGGGGGGTAACTGGGAGTTACCCGGAAGGACATGGGTTTCCGGGTGGGACTCGTTTCTTGGCCGGTGGTATCGTATTCTCTTCCCTTGTTATTTTCCCTTATCATTGCTGTCGTTGGTGGTAGCGGTGGTGATTTGTGTTGTACACTGGTTGCTGGACTGTTCTTGTCTCAACCCGTAGGAGTTGCACTCTTTCGATCCTCCTCCCCGTTCCTCTGGGAGCGGGGAAGGGGAGAGCCCTGGGGGGGGGGCTTGATTGTTGTCAGCCCAGCACCACTCACTGGGAGTGAGTGAACAAGTTGCCTGACTGGGTTTAAACCACGACAACAGCATAAAGTAACTTGTACTAACTAAAATGAATGTACTTTTATATAGAAAGATACAAATATTTTTCCCAGGACATACAGCAATTCCTTCATTCAAATACTCTGTGAAGGAATTTCAACACTAACAAAAGAGAAAAGCCAATATTAAGATTGCAGCTCTATTTTCATCTAACAAGGTAAAAAAGAAATATAATTTACATATTACTTCATTAAGTGCATTCTCTGGCTGGAAACCATCATAATGTACCTGAAAGTTCAGAGAGAATACTACTATACTGTAAATAAAACTTCAGAGCATAGTAATCACATCTGGTAGTAAAGGTTTTAAGTGGATAACTTGCATGTAAATGTCAATCTGTTTATTTCCCCATTTTTTTAACACCTCTGATGTGTATATCAACTGCTAATTCTCCTGGGAAAAAAAAAACAAGAATACCTTCATCTACTCTGTAGGCATAATTTGCTTCTTCCCCCATTAGAAAGTTCTCTGATTATTTGCATATGTGAAGAAGATACTTGAGAAAGACGTAAGACTAGCATGAACTGGTAATTTCTTGTGCATGCCATACAGAGCTTATGTTGTCGAATATGTACAGAATGCACAGCAGTAAACAAGACAAAAAAGATTTCCTTCTAGGACAAGATTTTAAAATCTTAGGAAGCATGTATAGACTTTGCTCCTTTTAAGGAATATACATGATTTGGTGCTTGTGTGCATGCAATGGAAGCAGACAGAAGTCACGTTTTGTGTACTTTATTTCAATAGATACAACATATTCATTAAAATGGAATACAGAAAGTAAGTCGATGGGCTTTCAATACTGTTATTTCACTTGCAATACAAATTAGACTGCTAGTGTCTGCAACTTCATCCCAAATATTCTACCTGCAGAAGCAGTCCCTGTTTCAAGTAAGATTTTTGAAATAATGATTCTTTGTTACTGGAAGACCTGGAAATACAATCATGCGGAGTTATGATTACATCACTGCTCCCTGGTATGGCCATGTTTACAGCCTGACTCATCTACATGTGCTTTTATCATCATCTTGCCTTCTGCAGTTGTCACTGTTTTGATACTTGTAAAACGAGCGATCAATTAGATTTGCATCCTACTTTTCTCCATTACTTCAGGTAAAAAAGAATATTTTCCAAAGTGTTTAATCCTCAAGGGAAAGGTCACACAATGTGTTTTATTCCAAGAGTATAAAAACGCTTTCCATTGTTAAAAAAATTTTGTAGCAGTAAAAGAAAATCTGTGACATTTACATTCTACAATTTGTAGATACCTTTAGAATAACAAGAATATAGGCCACGCAATCTGTAACTGCAGCAGGGGATACAACTTTCTCAGAATTTCTGATGATCTCTTCTTCCAGAGATTCACTGCAGACGTTTGAACTTTCATGTCACAATTCATTTTATTTGAGATACTGCCTGTGTTAGTGTATTAGTCAATTAGTGGAGCCGTTCTAATTTAGCCTGTAGCGATTTAAAATTCCCAACTGTGGTCTGCACCATTAGTGTTGGGGTCATAGACTGAAGTTCAACCAGGTAGCAACTAACTGCGTCTAAGCAAACATTTGTGAATTGTCGCCTGTAAAGAAACATAGAATAACGATGAGTTCCTTTTTGCTCCTGTATATTAGAATTAATCTGAAACAGAGAGTGAGCACTCTTTGAGTTTTAATGGAATAACATATCAGCAAGACATCTATCAGCTACTTTGAAGTATCCAACTTAGAAAAATAGATTTTTGAAATCTAATGCTTGTGACTATGGTATAATGGGAAAATCATCAGTACTGTTTATCTGGTATTAATTATAAACAATAAAACATGATGCTTAATAACAATGTGAAATATTTAATATTTATATACTACTTTATGAATAGAATAAATATGTTAATTTAGATAGTAATTTTAAATTCCTCAGTCTCAAAAATTTAGGTATTAATATCTTAAGTAGATTATTAGACAACATTCATGAAGTTACTAGAACTTTAAATCAGCTAACTATAAGAGATCAACAAAGTGAGAAAAAATAGATATAAACTCTGCATGTGAACAGGGGCTATTTACATGTGTATCTTCAAGAGATTCAGAAAAAAATACGGTAAGGCGAGTTACCAAGAATTTGTCTAGTCCAGCTCACTGCTTCTGAGACACTGCTTCTGAGACAAGACAGTTCTGACTGAAGTTTGTATAGTCTGTTCACAAAAGTTGCTGAAGCTAGAGGTTCCATAATATGCAGGCAACTTACTCAAGTACATAGCTGTACTTCCAGGTAGAAGCTTTTTTTGTTACTACAACTGAATTCTTCCCTGCTGCAGACTAAGCAGAATTTAAATCTTGGAGAGTGATTCATGCAGCAACCTTTTCCAAACAACTTGGAAGATCTACTCCCATGTTTAGTCTTCTCTTTTCCACAATACAAGAACTCAGTGCTTCTAGGCTTTCTTCATTAAGCAGTTCACTATTTCATTCACAAAATGCCTAATTCTCATTCTTCCCGACTTCCTCTGATTCCCTCAAATTTGTCTGTACTACTCCTTAAAGTACGTTGCCAAAATTTACAAAATAATCCTCTTATTCCCTTATGAATCTTCAGTGCAGCGGAGAAAATTATATATATTGAAGCACTTTATAGACAGGACCCTACAAATTTCCACCAACTTGTTTTGAATGA